GGATCTGTCCCACAAGGAAGAAAGAAAATCAATATGTGAACCACTGTAAGTTGTAGGGTTTTGCCATCAGGGATTGAACAGAGGCAATCCACTACTGAGCTACATCTCAGCCCCTTTTATTTCGAGACAGGGTCTTGAAAAATTACCCAGGCTGGCCTCAAAATGAATTTGCAATCCTCCTGCTTTAGCCTCCCCAATCGCTGGGATTACAGGCAAACTGCATCCATCAAGCCTGTTAATAATTTTATCAAATCTCTTGGGATAGACAGCATCCCATTGGAACCAGAGGCTCATGAAGGGGACTTGCCCAGTCCTCCCAACCCCTTTTATTCTATTTATTTATTTATTTATTTATTTTTATCAACTCCCGGTTGGCTCTCTAGAACACCTCGGCTGGTCCTTCCTCCTCCTCATCTTCCTCTTCGTTGGCTTCCGCGGGGCCCGGTGCTGGGACCAAGTTGGGGAACCTGGCCGAGGCCGCCCCAGGTCCCAGTCCCTGAGGCGTCCTGCCTGGGGTTGCTTGGAAGGTCATGGGCTTGGAACTCTGCGGATATAGGAAAGTGAGGGCGGTTCAGAAGTGCCATTCTAGCTATGGTGGTGCGTGGAAAGACAAACCCACTGGGGACATAGGGGCGTAAAAAGCTGGGTTGCAAGATATGGGGGCATTCTGAGGGCGACTGCTCATCTATTTCACTAAAGAACAGACTAGGAAACTCCACGCGCCCCACCCTCATTTCTGTCACAAGGAGATTGTACTTTGGAAGGAGAAGGGTTGAGGGCCCTGTGGGGCGAATTGTACACGTCTAACTTCTGCTTCTGCCAACCACGCCCAATGATCACAGCCTATTGCTCTTAAGTCTCCAACCCACCACCTGCACCAACTCGCGACATTTTCCCGCGTTTTCCGTCACCTCAGTCGCTACACGCGAGAAACAGCCCCAACCACCACCACCAACGGCAAGCCTGCAGGAGGGGCTCGTCGGCGCGTGGGTGGGATGCGCGCGCACTCGCACCACCCCCGTAGCGGCTTATTGGTCGGAGGATCCTGGACCGCTCAGAGATCCAACCAGGCGTGAAGGTGGAGTAGGCCGCAGGCGCAGAAGAATCTGGGTGTTCATTGGACTATTCGCATTTGAGGCGGTGCTAGAAGGTTCAAACTTCCCGCCCTCTATCGTTGCTTAGCAGCGGGCCTCTGACCCGAACAGTTTCTGGGTTTTGATTGACGCGGGGTGGAGTCCCAGAGCCTGGATGGGATCTGGGGAGTTGGGCAGGGGTTTCGGAAGGAGGCTGACTTTAAAGGGCCAGAGGCACTTTTTTTTTTTTTTTTCCCTTGGAGAGTGGAGAAAAGTAACATTAAACCTTTGCCAACAGCAACTAAGTTAATATTTGTACCCTCTGAGTTAATATTTATAAAGAATTTGGAACAGTGCCTGGCAAATAAAGTAAGAGCTATATAAGTGTTTTAAATAAACAAGTGGAAATAAGAAGTGGGACTCCTATCTCAACCCTATTTTTGCCTGTTTCCTGGGTCCAGAGTATGACCATCCCCACAAGGGCACTACAGGGCTAATTTATTATCCCCACCCACAATGAATTATTCAAATTATACCAAATTCTGAAAGCAGTAGAACAAATAAGAACACTTACACACTTATTGGGTTATTGCCATACTCCTACATACACACATACATACTCCTAAGGACAGAGGGTGGCATTAATTCATTCAGCATTTATCTTTGTTAATTATTATTATTATTATCAATAGTAGTACTATGGATTGAACCCAGGGGTGCTATACCACTGAGCTATATCCATAGCCCCCACTTTTTTAAAATAATTTTTTTGGTTGTAGATGGACACAATACCTTTATTTTATTTGTTTATTTTTATGTGGTGCTAAGGATCGAACCCAGGTCCTTACATGTGCTAGGCAAGTACTCTACCACTGAGCCACAACCCCAGCCCATAGTCCTTTTTTAAAAATCTTTATTTTGAGACAGTGTCCTCACTGAGTTGCTTAGGGCCTCATTAAATTGCTGAGGCTGGCCTCGAACTTGTGATCCTCATGCCTCAGCTTCCTAATCTGCTGGGATTACAGGCATGTGCCACCACATCCAGCTCAGCATCTATTTATTTAGTGCCTACTCTGTGACAGGTGATGGACTCTAAGTAGTAAACATAATGAAGTCCTTACTCTATGAAGTTTATTTTTTAGGGTGTTTGGTGGGAAGGGAGAGGGAGGAGGTTGTGAGGCAGAAACAAAGAAACAAACAAATATGTACTTTTTAAAACTCCATCTTTCTTTCCAGTGTGGAGACACATGCCTGTAATTGTAGCAAGTCAGGAGGCTGAGGTAGGAGAATGGCAAGTTTAGGCCAGGCTCTGAAATTTAGCAAGACCCTGTCTTTAAAAAAATAAAAAATAAAGGCTGGGAGTGTAGCTCAGTGGTAGAGAGCCCCTGGGATCAAATCCCCAGTATAGCAAAAGAAAAAAAAATCAGTTTTGTTTCTCTCTCTCTCTCTTTTTTTTTTTTTTGTGTGTGTGTGTGTGTGTGCGCGCGCGCGCGCGTGCAGAGACTTGAACCCAGGGCTTTGTCCACACTAAGCAAGCTCTCTATCACTAAATTACATCTCCCAATCTCTCAGCTTTGTTCTCAGTACCCTGGAATGGGAAGATCCCACCCAAGAGGCAAGAAAAGATGATGGGGGTGAGATGACTTAAGTGTGCTGACCAGTGATTGGAAGACCCTCTCCAGAGAAGAGAAGGTAGGGAAACACAGCTAAGGGCTGAGTTAATGGTTACCTTGGCAAATTGTTGAACAATGGAGCTATGGAAACCTGGAGAAGGCTGGTGACAACTCTGGGGAGTGGCAGAGAGGGACACACCTTCCAGGGTGTGAAGAGATTAGAGACTGGTTTACCAAGCCACAGAGGGGAAGGGAGCAAAAGAGAAGCCTAGAGAAGGGAAGGAGAGACCGTGAAAGAGGAGAAAAGCAGGGGCAAGATAAGATGAGTTGAGATGGAATGGGAGGAAAACTTCTCTGATGCAGGACTTAAGGGAGCAGCCCCAACCTCAAATCCCTGAGGCACTGTTGGTGGTTACAGGAGAGGGCAGCGTTACCTATCACCTGGGGAGTTAAGCAAGATACCTTATAGGTAGCCAAAGTCAATACTGATGATCAAGGCAGCCGTAGCTATAAAGCTGTAGGAGAAAGAAGAAGCAAGGGAGGGGCTGTCAGACCTGTTTGAGCCTATAGCTGGCCCCATTTACTTAAGCTTCTCCCAGAAAGATCTTTGTGGGACACTCATCAGTGAAAGCAGGAGAGGACCCTGGGAAATAAGGCTTTTTCTTTGATAACCTTCCAGATCCCATCAATAGGAAGGGGTCCTGTGTGCGGATTTTGAGGGTCACCAAGAAGGGGATATTCTCTCTCTCTCTCTCTCTCTCTCTCTCTCTCTCTCATACACACACACACACACCATTTATGGAATCATTCTGCATCCTCATAGGATGTTGTAATTCAAGTGAGCAAACATCTAATATGCTGCATCTTTCTGGGGTGGAGAGAGATGAGCCTTCCCTCAGGGAGAAGAAACCCACAGAAGAAGAAACACAAGAGGAAACCACTAGGGCTGGGGATGTGGCTCAGGCGGTAGCGCGCTCGCCTGGCATGCGTGTGGCCCGGGTTCGATCCTCAGCACCACATACCAACAAAGATGTTGTGTCCGCCGAGAACTGAAAAATAAATGTTGAAAAATTCTCTCTCTTTCTCTCGCTCACTCTCTCACTCTCTCTTAAAAAAAATAAAATAAAATAAAATAAAAAAAAAAGAGGAAACCACTAACTGCTGGTTTCCAGTGGCATATCATATCACTCCACCCCACTCCTTCCCCAATCTCTACCTTTAAGGTCCAAAACCCTGTTTTGCTTCCATGTCTTTGCAGTCTACCATGTTTTCAGGTTTTCTTTTGTTGGGCAGAGAAGGTGTGAGAAGGAAAGAGAAGAGACAGTTAGGAGAGAAATTCAGGGTATTGAGAGTGGAATATATGCTGTTTGGGGGACATATTTTGAGACTTTTTCAGAAGGTCATAAAGAGTTTGAAAGTACAACCCAAATCAAGGTTACCAAGGAGGGAGAGAGTAACTCTTTTTCTGTCCGCCCTACTTATTCATTTAGATGTCTCTAGGACTCCACTCACACTATTTTGGGTGTTGTTTGTTTTTGCAGTGCTAGGAACTGAACCCAAGGCGCTATGCATGCTAAACAAGTACTCTGCCATTGAACTACATACTACCCAGCCCCACTTCACATTATTCTGTCTGACTTGTTTTTTCCCTATGAAAGGACCAGCTACCATTCCACCCACCAGCCTAGTGCCAGGATAAGCCCACTCCAACACCCCATCTTCAAGACAACCTACCAGTGAGAAGAGGGCAAGGGGCACAGGAAGGGGCCCAGTATGGGAGGCAGAAGTGGAAATGTTAAAACTGACCAGGCTATCAGTAGAGCACCTCCCCTTGCCATTCAAGCCCCAAAGTTCAGCTTCCTGTTTCCCCAGCACCAGGCCTCTGGGTCTCCCTTCCCATCCACTGTACTACTACCTTTCACCACTCCCTACTCCCAACCCCAGCTTTCACTTCCAAGTTCTCCTCCCAGACCACAGTCCTAAAAACCCAGAATTTAGACTGGAGTCTGGAAAAAATATAGAATCTTTCCTTTCTAAGTTCCATTTTTATGAGCGTGCCTGAGCTGTTAGTGTCAAGTTTCTTGTGTGAGGGTGGATAACCCTTCTGATTAATGAATCAGAGAAACTGAGGCAGAAAACTCAGGAGAGGACAGAGACAAAAGGCTTCTCACAACTTACTCCTCTTAACACCCCCAATGCCTGATCTTCTGGGAAACCCGAGGATCTCCTCTTCGGACCCAGTCCCTAGATCGCCCAGTCCCTAGGTCGCCCAGTCCCGCCCCCTCCTGTCCCCTCCCCAGGTTCAGGGCGGGGCCGGCCGGTGAGTCAGCGGCTCCCTGATCCAGCTCCGGAGGGGACAGAACTGGAAGAGTTAGGTGTGGGGTTCACCTGTTTGGTGGAGCAAGTGGGTCTGATCGGGCTCGTGTTGGCTGAACGGTCAGCCCTAGGTCTGGAGAAGAAAATCCCCGACTGTGAGACCCGCCTTCCCAGGCCCGGGCCCCTCCCAGTTCCCCCAGCGACGGCCGCTTCCTGGTCCCCGACGCAACCATGGCTGAAGAACAACCCCAGGTCGAATTGTTCGTGAAGGTAAGAACACCTTCTCTTTCCTTGGCCATCCTCCGAATTCCCGGAAGCCAATCCTGCCTTTTCCCCAGCTGCAGTGGAAATTCCCCAATTCCTCCTCTCTCAGACCCCAAACCCCAAGTCCACGTGTAATCTGGGTGGGGGGGGAGGTGGCGGGAGGGAAAGACAACTTGTAAGCCGGTAATGAAACTTCTAGACCCGATCCTGAAAAGTTTGTAGCAGAACAAGTTTCCAGAAGCCTAAAGGAGAAGAAAGTGGAGAAAAAGGAGTTTCCAGGCGTGAGATTGGGATGGGTGGGGGTGCGAACTGATGGAAGGACAGGAGAGAAAGCGGTCTGCTGGAGCCCAGAGGGGCTTGGGGAGAACAGAGGGGAGCATCTACTGGGACAATGGCTGCTGGAAAGATGGGGGGGAGAGGGTAGGGAGGGATTCTGGAAGAGGGTGTGTCTAGGGAGGCTTGGGAGTGGAGGAGGTAAATCGGCCAGAATTGGTGGGGTGGAAAGAAGGGAGAGGATAGCAGGAGGGCTGGAGGGATGATGAGGTAATACAAATATCCTCTGAATGGAAAGAGCTGAAGAGAGGAAGTGAGGAGGTGACAGTTTGGCAGTAGCTACCCAAAGACAGTCGAAGTAGAGATCAGAGGAGAGCTGAGTTGGTTTGGATATGGGACGTGTAGATGCAGAAGGAAAAGCCTCGCCCCCCACCCCAACTCTCTCCCTTCTGTGTGGGTGTGGATGAAGAGACTTGGTTCCATGGTATTTGGGTGTAAAATCTCAGGCAGCAGCCTTTCTTGTGTCTGTCTGGACCCCTCCCCTCCAGCATTGCCTTCTGTCCCCTGTCTTAGGACCTTGACTCTGCCCTTCCCTTCCTTTCTCTCCTTGGTGGTCTGTGTCACCCTGTTTGTTCATTCTTCCCCACCCTCCGCTTTCCTGCCTCCTTTTTCTTTGCTTTTCCCTTTTGTTCATCTGTCTTTGTGTTTTCCTGTTTCTCTCTTCTTATTCGCTGGTTTCTTAGTCATTCCCTCTCCCTGGGCCCCAGGGAAGTCAACTCCAGCCTGGGTCCGCCCCTTAGGTGTGGTCCCTACCTTACTTTCATGCTGGCCTCTGGGGCTATTTTTACTCCTGGGTGAAGCTATGCTGGTATGGATTTTGGCCCTATGTCCAATACAAGAATTATTGGTAGCCAGAGGACTTGTACTGGAGAGATCTAGAAGTGGGAATGAGGGCATTAGTGGGCTGGAGAGGTTCCCTAGCAGCTCAGGCCTTAGCTTCGCTGTCCCTGCCCCCACTTCCTTAGCAGGAAGGAAGCTGCTGAGGCCTGAGACACCAAGAGATGAATCAGTCTCAGCCCAGGGGGAGGTGTCCCTTGGGGGATGAGGTCACTACTTGCCAATTAGAGAGTAGCCCCCCTCTACAGGGCTCTCCATATCTCTAGAGTAAGGCTCAGGACCCCTTGAGTTCCCACTCAGTTGTCAGAAACAGGTTGAATGGAGATGTAGTAAATCAATTCTGGCTTCCAAATCCCACTCCATCCTTAGAGTCCTTAGACTCAATTCAGGAATCTAGGGCCCTAGCCTCTAATTCTAGCCTCACCAAAGTCCCATACCCTTCCCTCTCTATGATTTAGACCCTCCACGTTCTCTAAGACCCATTCCCTCTGCCTCTTCCTGCTTGTGCTTAATCTCTGGAAACTAGAAGCCTGCCTTTGCCAAAATTTTCCCATTGATCTGCCCTAAATTTGATCTAGGCCAGCTCTGATAGCTTATAATAGGGGAATAGAGCATAACTAGGAAGATAATAGCTGGTCTGGGAGTAGGAGGTGAAGAAAATGGCCTGGGAGGTGTGGGGTACACCAGACCTAATCTTAGGATGGGGATTGCTTTTCAGGCTGGCAGTGATGGGGCCAAGATTGGAAACTGCCCCTTCTCCCAGAGACTGTTCATGGTGCTCTGGCTCAAGGGAGTCACTTTCAACGTCACCACTGTTGACACCAAGAGGTGGGCCTACTTCTGTTTTTCTAAATACCCCTTGAATACATGCATGTATATGTGTACACACATACTCAGGCCTACCTGAGTCCTTCCATCTTAAACCTTTTCCCTCTCCACCTGGAGCCTTTTTCTCTTCCCACATTCCTCTATCTCCTTTCTGGCTCTCCCTGACCCCTTTTTCCTACCCTGATACCTGGCCTCTTCTCCAGGAGGACTGAGACAGTGCAGAAACTGTGCCCAGGAGGGCAGCTCCCATTCCTGCTGTATGGTACTGAAGTACACACAGATACCAACAAGATTGAGGAATTTCTGGAGGCTGTGCTGTGCCCTCCCAGGTATAGGAGTACTTGGAAAGGGGAGAGGGGGAACTGGAAGACTCTGGAGAACTGAGAGTTTGGAAAAATAGAATACAGAGATGGTGATGGGGCTGGGGCAGGGGAGATAGATAACAAAGCCTCCTTCTATGAAGGTATCTTACCTTGTTTCTCTCATTGGCTTTCAGGTATCCAAAGCTGGCAGCTCTGAATCCTGAGTCCAACACAGCTGGGCTGGATATATTTGCCAAATTTTCTGCCTATATCAAAAATTCAAACCCAGCACTCAATGATAGTGAGTTTTGTGGATCAGAGGCCAGAAGACTGGGTCCTGGGGGAAGGGAAAACACCCAAGGGTTGAGAGGCATTAAGGGCATTTGGAAGTTCAGGTTATCAGGAAGATGGAGTAGGTGTTGGAAAAATCTCTTCAGCCTTCCATTTTTGCTTTACCTCTTTGTCTCCCTGCATTCTCAGACTACCTGAGCACAAATCCAGCTAGTTGTATGACTGAACAGTTCACTTAGCCTCTTTGTAAATCCATTTCCAGATCTATAAAATGAGGATAATAATACCTATTTCCTGGGTTGCTGTGAGAATTAAATGAGTTTTGTTTCTGAAGGGCTTAGACTTGGGGGCTGGGGATATAACTCAGTGGTAGATCATTAACATGCTCAAGGCTGTCAGTTGAATCCCCAGCACCTCTCACCAAAAGGGGGGGAGAAAGTGCTTGTTCTCTGTGTTACTATATATTAATATTTGGTATTATTATTTTGTACTGGCCTTGCATTATGTCCCCCCCCCCCCCCAGGGTCTTCTTGGATAGGCTTTCTCAGTCTTCTGGTATTCTAATCAGTTCCCTCTCTTGCACAGATCTGGAGAAGGGACTCTTGAAAGCCTTAAAGATTTTAGACAATTACTTGACATCCCCCCTCCCAGAAGAAGTGGATGAGACCAGTGCTGAAGATGAAGGCATCTCTCAGAGGAAATTTCTGGATGGCAATGAGCTCACCCTGGCTGACTGCAACCTATTGCCAAAGCTCCACATAGTACAGGTGAATGGTCACTATGGGAGGAGAGGATGGTAGCTGGGGTGGCTCTCTAAGGGGCTTCCACATGACAGTCACTTCCCATGACAACAATTTGAAGGTGATTTATTTCATAGCATGTTTTTCATAGATTGCTACCAAGGCGGACAAAGTTGCTACCACCCCAGTGACAAAGTCTAGTCCCCAGCAGTCATTGCTGACTTGACAATTACATTCCATGAGACAAGCCATGGGTGCACATGCCTTAGCCAAGACTAACACATTCTGGTATTACTTTCAAAAAGTCTCTTCCTATCTCTGTATTACTGCCAGATCCCCAGATAGACAAAGCAGGCTTTTCCTAAGGCAAAGCTGTAACTCTTTGTAGCTTCAGACTCCACTTCCTCTTTTTTTTTTAATTAATTTATTTATTTATTTATTTTTCGGCGGACACAACATCTTTGTTTGTATGTGGTGCTGAGGATCGAACCCGGGCCGCACGCATGCCAGGCGAGCGCGCTACCACTTGAGCCACATCCCCAGCCCATCCACTTCCTCTTAAGGAAGTTGAAAACTTCTGCTTCCCATGTCTTTATTATAGCCTCAAAGCTGTGGTATAGTTTATAAAACATGGGCCCAAAGTCAGTCTGCCATACAACTGAGTAATGAAAATCTGTGTACTAGTCATTGAAAGACAAAAGATGTTTGGCAACCGGTCCATGCCTTTTAAGAGATGAAACCTAACAGAACATAATATTAACATTAAAGTTATGAATAATACATGTCTAAAAGTCAAATGAAAAATAGAGACAAAAATCACTGGAACCAGGTGCAATAGCACATGTCTGTCAACCCCCCAACTTAGGAGGGAGGGATCACAGGTTTGAGGACAGCCTCAACAATTTAGCAAGACAGTCTCAAAAAAATAAAAAGGTCTGAAGATGTAGCTCAGTGGTAGAGTGTCTCTGGGTTCAATCCCCAGTACTGACAAAAAAAAACAAACAACCCACTGTGGAAATTCAAGTTAATTCCTCTCCCCCACCCCTTTAATACCAGGGATTTAACCCAGGGGCGATCAATCACTGACCTACATCCCCAGCCCTTTTTAAATTAACTTATTTTTTTTTGGTACCAGCGATTGAATCCAGGGATGCTTAACCACTGAACCATATCCCCAACCCTTTTTAAAATAATTTAGAGACAGGGTTTCATTAAGTTGCTGAGGCTGGCTTTGAACTTATGATCTTCCTGCCTCAGCCATGTGTGTGCCACAGTGCCTGGCAATTCCTCTTTTTACTTGTCTTCCCTGGGGTTTACATTTTGGTTTCTCTCCTCTTCCCATCTCCAGGTGGTATGTAAGAAGTACAGGGGATTCACCATCCCTGAGGCCTTTCGAGGAGTTCATCGATACTTGAGCAATGCCTATGCTCGGGAAGAATTCGCCTCCACCTGTCCAGATGATGAAGAGATCGAGTTGGCCTATGAACAAGTGGCCAAGGCCCTCAAATAGGCCATTTCTGGGGCTCCCTCACCCCCGTACATGTTCTTTACAGAGGCCCAGGGCGGTTTCCACGTTGCTTCCCATGGACACACTCCAAAATGGCCAGTGGACAGAGAATCCTGGGGCACTTGTGCAGGACTGGGGAGGGGGGGCGAGTTTGGGGGGTGGAAGGGAATAAGGGTAAGATTTTTATTGTGGGGTGGAGTGGGTAGGACAACTTATTTCAGTAATAAAATACGTAGTGAAAATGTAGTGTTGTTTTTACACAAAACGGAGTTGGAGTGTAGTTGACACCAAATTAGGGGTGGGTCAGTGATCTTGAGCTCAGCGCAGAAGCCAGGAATTAAGGAAAGGGATATTTGTTCCAGGGCTTCCGTCTGTTTTTTTAGTGCCAGTCCAATACAGTGCTGTCTTCTGGTCCATGCCGCATTTGCTTCCTGGCCAATAGGGCTAGCCAGATATGGGTGGGCCTGGTCCGCGCTCGGGGGGCGGTGCCGAGTTCAGGGAAGGGGGGCTCAGTCCTGGTGGAATGGGCGCGGCACCGCAGAGCGATATAGGCGTGGCCTTGTAAGGCTCCGCCCCGTCCCGCTTAGACAATGCCCGGGAGCCGCCAGACCCAAGCGCCCCCGCCCCGTCGTAGGACGTGAACTCGCCAACCCAGGGACCCCTCAAAAGCTAGAGCTCCCAGTCTCTTGTCTTGAAGACTAGGATTCCTTTATATCCCTACCCTACCCTCTGGGGGTGGGGCCCCAGCCGAGATCACAGCGCAGCAGGAGTGACCACTGGAGGTGAGTCTGGGGAGATGGGTGACCCCTGGACCGTAGCTGGTATTTGGGGATACCGGGCCTGTGCCAGTACAGAAAGGAGTGTGCGGGAGGCTGGCTTTTGGGTTGGAGCTGGGCCGGGTGGACTTCGGTGGAAGATGGACAGGGGAACCGGGTCTTGGGGCCAGGAGTGGCGCCCGCGCCCCGGAACCACGCCCCCGTTTCCCCGCCTCCCGGATTTCGTTGTAGACCTCTCCCAGTCCTCCGGGACTAGGTCTGGTTTATACTGGGTCGCGCCAGGGACAGCGTGACTGGCCTGGGTGGAGAGAGGATGCTTAACTCCTTGGACTCTTAATTCTTCTCTCTCTTCCTTTTTTTCCCCTTGGGGCTTAAGGACTTCTTGTCCTGGGTCCTGATTCACTCCCCAGCTTTCTCCTCCTGCCCCATTACCCCTGTGTGTGGGTCCCTGGCCAGACTTCGGGTCCCTCCAGCTGCGAGCTGCTGAGGGTTAAGGGGGCGGGGCCGCCGCATTTTTGGGGAGTGAGCGCATCCTAGCGGCTGCCAAGAGGGGCGCCCAGCAGGGACCTTTTGAAGCCCCCGAACAGGGGCAACAGGTGTTTTGGAGATTAGGGATTTAAGACTTGTTCCAAGGGCTCCTCTTAAAGAAGCAGACTCATGGGGTTGCAGTGTGGAGCAGGGTCCACCGAAGAGAAAGGTCTGGAGGGGGTGGGGAGGAGTGGGAGGGGCACCGAGATGGCAGGAGGAAGACCCTCTTAATCACCGTTAATCAGGCTCTCTTATTCACCCCCACGACCTTCTCTTCATGCCTCTTTCTATGCTTCCCCCTGTTTCTTCTTCCAGACAGGTGAAGTAAAAAGAAAACAGAAATCAGCTTGGCCGGAAAGGGCGTCTGTGTGGATGGGATGGGGACGCCGGGGGAGGGGCTGGGTCGCTGCTCCCATGCCCTGATCCGGGGTGTCCCCGAGAGCCTGGCGTCGGGGGAGAGTGCAGGGGCTGGCCTTCCAGCTCTGGACCTAGCCAAAGCTCAAAGGGAGCATGGGGTGCTGGGGGGTAAACTGAGGCAGCGACTGGGGCTACAGCTGTTAGAACTGCCTCCGGAGGAATCGCTGCCGCTAGGACCGCTGATTGGTGATACAGCCGTGATTCAAGGCGACACGGCCCTAATCACGCGGCCCTGGAGCCCGGCTCGTAGACCTGAGGTGAGCGCCAGGGTGGGTGTGTAAGGGGAAGGGCGAGAGGAGTTGGATGTCCGAGTTTGGGAAAAGAATTGGGAGTTGAGGTGTCTGAGCCGGCACTCTTCTCTTGCACTAAGGTTGATGGAGTCCGCAAAGCCCTTCAGGACTTGGGTCTCCGAATTGTGGAGATGGGGGATGAGAACGCAACTCTGGATGGCACTGACGTTCTCTTCACGGGTGAGGCTGGGGTCTTGGCACAGGGAAGCAGTTTGGGAGACCTAGGATGTCTCGGGCCTTGTTTTCAACTCACTCAGGTCATCAAACCTTTGTGGCCTTCCCGGGGGTTCAGGCCGGGAGTTTTTTGTAGGTCTCTCCAAGTGGACCAATCACCGAGGAGCTGAGATCGTGGCGGACACATTCCGGGTGAGGAGCGGTACCAGCCTTGGGAGGGAGTGGGGCGCAGGCAGGAGCCCCGGTAGCCTGAGGACTCCGTGAGGAGGAGGAAGAAGCCTGGGAGCAGCCTATGTTTGAGGGTATCCCCTCTCACCCCTCCCACGACCCTGAATACCCTCGCCTTTGCTCTCCACAGGACTTCGCCGTCTCTACTGTGCCGGTCTCTGGCCCTTCTCACCTGCGTGGCCTCTGTGGCATGGGGGGACCCCGCACTGTGGTAGCAGGCAGCAGTGACGCTGCCCAAAAAGCTGTCAGGGTGAGGAGGGGCGGGGTGGGGTGTGGCCAACGACCATGGGCGTGGCTCCAAACTCAGGAGGCGGGAGCTCCAACCCTAGCCTTCACCAAGCTGTCCATCTAAGTATGAAAGATCACCCAAGTAAACAGGTGGGATACATAACAATAGCTGGCAGGGAGCAGGGAGACTGGGAACAGGGATGATTAACTTGCTCTTCCAGAGTTTTAGGAAACTCCTTAAAGGTGATATTTAAACGGATTTGTAGGATGGATGGGACAGACAGGTGGGAGCTGGAGAAGGGCAAAAGAGGGTTACAGGTGAAAAGGACTGCATCTGAGTAAAGAGTACAAGATAGAAATTAGCAGAACACTGTCTGACATATTAGAACACTGTGTGACATATAGTAAGGACTATGTACTTGCTGTCACTATTATTCCACAAATAGAACTGTCCCAAGTCTTTAATAGGGCCCTTAGTTTGTGGTAGGATAGGCAAATTCAATTGTGGAAAAGCTCTGATACTTAAACACTTCCTCTTTCCTTTCTCTCAGGCAATGGCAGTGCTGACAGATCACCCATATGCCTCTCTGACTCTCCCAGATGACCCAGCTGCTGACTGTCTCTTTCTGCGTCCTGGGTTGCCTGGTGCACTCCCTTTCCTCCTGCATCGTGGAGGTGGGGACTTGCCTAACAGCCAGGAGGTGAGAGGGATATGAGCTCCACCACCACTACCCACTACCAACAACAACCAATAAAAGAATTTTTCCCAGTGGGAGGAAGGAGGGGTACCTTACCTAGAAACCTGGGTGGAGCCACCATAAGGTGGCTGGACAAGGGTGACTCTAGACTCAAGGTTTTACTCCCTTCTCTGTACTGTCCCTGCAGGCACTGCAGAAGCTCTCTGATGTCACCCTTGTACCTGTATCCTGCTCAGAACTGGAAAAGGCTGGTGCTGGGCTCAGCTCCCTTTGCCTGGTGCTCAGCACACGCCCCCACAGTTGAGGGCCTGGCTTGGGATTCTGGGTGGCCAGCAAAATAGGAATTAGAAGGGGAAGGAGAGCTGGGCATGGTGGCACACACCTGTAATGTCAGAGACTCGGAAGGCTGAGGCAGGAGGATCACAAGTTTGAAGCCAGCCTCAGCAATTTAGCAAAGCCCTGTCTCAAAATAAAATAAAAATGGCTGGGGATTTAGCTCAGAGGTAGAGCATCCCTGGGTTCAATCCTCAGTACTGCCCCACCCCCAAAAAACCCAATAATAATAAATAATAATAATAGAAGGGGAAGGAGGATTAGATAGATGATAAGTAGGTAGTAGCAGGAAAGGGCCCCAAGATGGGGTGGGATGGGACATAGTGTAGGGAAAAGTATAGGAGCCACTGGGTGAGTCCTCTCTCAGAACCAATAAAATAGAATTGGCCTTTTAGATTGTGCTGTGGCTGGTCTTCCTGGGGCAAAGGGATGGGGCGGGGCTGAAACCTGAGCTGGTGTCAGTGCTGGAAAAGAGAACTCTTTCTTTCAAAAAACCCTTGTTAAGCAGTTACTCATTGCCCAACCCTGTCCTAGGTGCTTGGGCAGAAGATGGTTAAAACAGAATTTGTATTGTGCACAGTCTGTCCAGGGCAGAAAAGGGAGTGTGTGGGTGGATCACTCTCTGACTATATCTAAATGTCAGATGATTCAGACACTGGTAGATTAACAGTCCACCTTTACTTGATAGAGAAGAAGAAATGACATTTTCAGAGACAATCATTTTCATTCACTCATTTACTGAAGCTTAGCAGTGATATCAAAAGGGTCAGTCTCCAGATGTCAGGGAACTTATAGTACATGAACATTTCTTACAAATTGAAATATAGATAGTAATGTAATAATTCACAGGAAGCTGTTTCTTTCTATGAGAAAAATAAGGGACTCTGTAAGGTATCAAAGTGTGTGCTGCAAAGGGCAAGGAGGTTCAGGACCAACTTCTCAGAAAAGGCAACACAAACTGAGTCCTGAGGATAAATAAGAATTAGCCAGGCAGGTAGTGGAGAGGAGAAAAAAAGGGTAATCCAGAAAGAAGGAATTACTCTGGACAGAGGCATTTTGGATGGCTGGGGAGATTTTTTTCTAAGGCTGGCATGTTGCGTGCACATGGAATGACAGATAAGCCAGAGAGTGCTATATCACCTTGTATCAAAAGCCAAGGTCCAGGGCTGAGGCTGTAGCTCAGTGGCAGAGTGATTGCCTAGCACTGTGAGGCTCTGGGTTCAATCTTTAGCATTACATTAAAAAATAAACAAATAAAATAAAGGCATGCTGTCCATCTACAACTACAAAAAATATTTTTTTAAAAAGCCAAGGTCCATGACCCAGAGCTGAAGCTTAAGGAGAAAAATACCACAGTTTAAAAATAAGGGATGTCAGGAGCAAGTTAGTACTTGAAGAGGATCTCCGGCTTCAGAGGAGGGCAAAGCAGAAGTATGAGTTATGGATAACCCAGGAAGGAAATGAGGAGATTACATTCTGGTGACAGCACTAGACATGGAAAAAAGATTTGACAGTGACCTTAAGATAGACAAGACTTCATGGCTCATTGTGTGGAAATGAGAAATGAGGTCATATGACTCCAGGTTTCTGGCTTGGTCAACTGGGTTGATCAAGAGAGAATGTAAACAATAAATTGTGCTTGATACACTGTGCAAAATGCCTGGGGTCAGCCAGGCAGGATGTCCTAGATCTGGGATGCAGAGAGTTCTAAGTGTCTTTCTAGAGGTGCAGGCTGAGAATTACCTGCAGATAGGAGATTTCCAGAAGAGGGGTAAGGGGAAGAAAGGGACAAACCTAGAATGGTAGAGAATACCATGGGGATAGAAAGCAAAGAAAAAGAATCTAGAGGAAGATAAGAGCAGCAAAGTAAAATAACTTAATGAAGGGGGTGATCAAAGGCCATGCCAAATGAGTGCTAAAAAACGTAGCCTAGGACATCAGAACATCACTGGCAAACTTGTGGAGAGTAGATAAGTAATTTCAGCAGATAAGTAGTGGAGATAGAAGAAAAAAGAAAGTGAAAAAAAGCAGATGTATGCTCCTGGTTCAAAGGCTTGATTCTGAAGGGAAGAGATAGGACAATTATTGGGAAGTTAACTAAGATATCGAGACAGGGTTTGATTCAGGTTTAGAGAGGACATCAGGGGCGAAGGAGACATGGAAGCTATAGGAAAGATGAGAATAACTGAAGGAGCAAGATCAGCAGCAGATATAGCCCAGAACCCAGGCCTTCAGACTCCTAGACATGCTCATTTCCATCCCATGATGCCTTCCTCTAGGTGAGAGATCAAGAGGGTGGGAATTATGGAGGGGTGGAAGCCCCCAACTACAGAGTTTGGAGTGAGGGCTTCCCTTCAAACTACAACTGCATAGACAGTGGACGCATCAGCAGGGACTACTGTGGACAGCCGACGGGGTCTCCTGAGGGCTCTATGGTCCAGATCAGCGTAGAGCAGGCTCTGAAGGAGGCAAGGGAGGAAGGCAGGATGGTCTCAGCAGTCTGACTCCCTTGAGATTCAGACCTACCTCTTGGTCCACTTTCCTGGGGGATTCCGTCCAGCACCTTTCCCATTCCCAAGTCCTTACCGGCTCCTGGTCCAGGTCCCCTGGAATCTTGGGCTCCTCCTCCTCCATGGGTCTCTGGGGCTCGGCTTTCATCAAAGGAGCTATATGGGGGGGACAGAGCTGAAGGATGGAGAGAAGGTGACCAACTTGTCTGCTCCCAACAGGGGCCCAACTCAGGAATTGAGGGGAGGGGACTGTACCAGTAGGAGAGGAAAAGTGGGGAGGAGTTAGTCTTACCAAATGTGGGGAGTGGTGGAAGCGGAGGCGGGGGCGAGCGCCTGTAAAGGAGTATAAGAGTCTTTAATAGTCACCAATCTTGTTGCGCTGGTTCTCCTTGGCCGCAGGCGGCGCCAACCACAACCTTGCAACTTGCTCACTCTGACCAGCAAAACAACTTAGGCCCCTCCCACACAAAAAGTGCTGCCCACACTCCGATCCTGTGGCGCATCTAGCTTCACTCCTCTAGTCATGCCCAGCTTGGTACACCAGCCTCCGGCCTCGCTCCCAAGTGTTGACCTCTTGCGTTCTCCAAACCATGCCTGGATCTCCAGATCTAGCTCTTTTCTTTGCGAAAATTCACGTTTCGCCCCTGCCGCCTCTGGTCAAGCCCTATTAAACCAGGCCCCGCCCCTGGTGCTCACCTGCGCAACCACCAGACCACGCCCAACGCTCCCAGTCCTAGCACCAGACCAGCGCCCAGCAACGGGACCAGGACTTGGGGATACAGCGACCCTAAGGAAACAGCGTGGCGGGGAGGGATGCAGACGTCAGGGGTACGACCACAGAGAGCTAGCTCTGTTGCTCAGCAAAGCTTCCATCCCTCTCCCCGGAGTGTGTCCGAGTTAACTCCACCGTACGTGTTGATCTCCACTTACCGTGCGTAGGCCCCTGGGCTCTGCAATCGGCCCTATCGCCCAGCACGTGAAGCACCGTACGACTCTCATCCTCGTGGCGTCCCCTGCAGAAAAATGTGCCCGAGTCCCCCGCACTCAAGAGCAGCTCCAGCCGCCGGATACCAGGGTCCAGAGAGCGTAGGCGGCCAGCGAAGGGCAGGAGTGGAGGCACAGTGGGGATCCCACTGGACGATGCCCACAGGATCGGGCGACGTCCCTTGGACAGACCTTTGCAAGCTGGGAAACTAGGCGCCCAAGCCCAGCGGATGGGGTGTGAGACCCCCACGCAGGAAAGATTCACCCGGTCTCCAGGGCGTCCATCCAGAGATGCTAGGGGAGGCGGGGGACGGTGGTTAGGACAAGTCCATGGGGCAGGTCGATGACACTGTCCCCACCCCATCTCTTTTTTTCACTCTGCCCTTCCACCATTTTGGATCTTCTCACACACTCGCGACTCCTCAGGTGTTCCCTTCCCCTGCCTCAGTCTTTCCTCACCATCACAACTTTCCCCGGAATTGCTTACCCCCCGGGTCCCCGTGGGCCCTCGAAAGCAGCAGAGGCAGTAGCTGCAGAACCAGGGCCATGGCTGGGGTGAGGTGGGGAGAGGCAGCAAGTGAATCAGCGGGAAGACCGGAGGGAAGTCTGGGGACAGGGACTGAGGTATCTCGGGACTGGGGGCTCTGATAAGAGCAGGGGCGGGGCCACCAATTCTTCCATCTCTTTAGGAATCCTCACAGGCAAACTCACAGCCCTAAAACAGTGCCCACTTAAAATTTGTAATAGGCTGTTTACACAGCACTCCTGCCTACTTAACTCCTCCAGCAGAGTGATAGCTGGGACAAATTCTGGAGCTCCACTGTCCTGAGTTCATATGTTGACTTTGCCATCTATGAACTGTTGGATGTGGGCAAGTAGCTTAACTGCTGCCTCTTTGCTCATCTGTAAATGAAGATGAACACACCTATTTCATACAGCATTGTGAGAACTAAAGTAATACCTGTAAAACAACTAAAGCAATAATGGACATAGGAACACTAAGTGCTCACCATTATTTTTACTACTTCTGTTCTTATTTTAGCTTCTACCTCACCTTTCTGTGCCCACGCTGTCCTTCCCCGCCTGCAGTACCCCACCCAAGTCCACAAGTTTTGACTGGGGAGGCCTTTAGGAGCAGATGCAAATGTCCCACACCTGTTACTCCAGCAGCCTTCACTGGACTGGAGCCATCAAGATCACATCAAGCCCATGTGGAGGGGTGAGGTCCCTCAAACCTTTAGGGGGCCTGAAGCAGCAACTCTTTAGAAGGTAGGCAGCCTCAGTTCCCCTATCCCCAGGACATCACAGAAACCCTCCATGATGTCACAAACCCTTCATCCTGTGGTTGGGCTGGGGTGGGAAAGACCAAATGAGGGTTGAGTAAAGATTAATTCAATCCCTTCCATCTTTAATTTCTGCCTGCATCCTGGCCAGTGCCCCCCAGGGATCCAAATTCGGCAATCCAGCTTGGGCCACATTCCATTGTTTCCTAGGACCTAGCAGAAGCTGCCACTATGGTCATTGTAAATCATAGAGGCTTTTTGGTGACTCTCCTTCAGAGGACTAGACAGGGCTTTCAGCCGGGCATCCTGAAACCAAGAACCAAAATGGAGTTGGCCACCAGTGGCACTTCCCCTTCCCCTTCCCTCTCACCCATCCCCATTCCCCAGCCAGGTCTGCTCAGCCTCTCCCCATCCTTAGTCTTTTTCTCTGGTCAGCACAGTGTAAATAGGAAGGGAGGTGCCAGCAGAGGCAGAGAAGGGAGGGGCCTTGGGATTATAAATTCCAAAAAGGCCGTTCAACTCCCAGAGCAGGATCCCTGAAAATCTCTTGACAACGGCTGTGACTACTACCATTCTTGGGACCCTCACCATGAAAGGCCTTCTTCTGTTCACCCTGTCTGCTCTGCTCTGCTGGGTGTCAGGTAAGTACCTGTGGCCCCCAAGAACCTGGTTCACCTGTCAGGACCTCAACCTCCCTGCCCTGCCTGTACCACCCATTAGTCATGATCCCAAAAACCCTCAGCCCCAACTGGCTCAGCTCTCCTATGTTTCCAGGACCAGATCTCTCTGTTACAGGCTCCTTGCACAATTTCTCAAGGACCCAGGTCTCCATCATCATATTCCTCCTCATCCCCAAGAAAGTGCCACTTTTCTCACCTGCGAGGGCTCCAGGTCTCTTTCTCACTCCAAGGTGCCCACTTCTTGGAAACTCTGATATCTAGTTCCCTGGCTTGCCCCATTTCAATCCACAATTCTCCTGGATCCATCTTACTGCCTTCTCTCACCTCCTGCAGACAGCGGGATGTGTCTTCAGACTTAAGCCTCCAGATCCAGGCTTCTTTCAGACCTCACCCTCTCCATCTACTCCACCCTGGACTTAGGTACTCAGCTGTGGCTCTTCCTAGTGTATCCTTGTTCCTCCCTGAGCTACATATTCTCACCCCTACCAGGGACACAGGCTTTCTGGATGGTTTCAGTAACTTCTTAAAGCCTTCTGGGGAACCAGGGAGTTTCCCCAAAGCTCCTAGGGAGGGGATGCCAGGGCCACTCACCCCTAGAGTGAGGTGGGTTTTATTTCCAGGCTCTCCACTCTTGGACTGACCTCTCCTTTGCCAAATCTTGCATGCCCATGCCTTGAATTAGCTGAAGCAGGAACACTGGGGGTGCCATCTTCTGTACCCACCCTCTCCTTTCTGGTAATCTGCTAAGAAGGATTCTGATGAAATGTCTCTCAGGTATTATTCCTTCTGCCAGAGAGCTGTGGTAAAGAGGACTCCATTCAGGACTGGTTCCTCCACCCACACTCTTGGCTGCCCCACAAGGTGAAGAGTAAATTGCTAAAGTTGGCCACAGGTGGCTTTCTTGAAGCCTCAAGTTCCAAGCCATTTTTTAAGGCATCATAATCCCATCATTTTTATTCTTCTTATTTCTTCCTATTTCAAGTCTCTATCCTCTCCCTCCTTTCCCCATTCCTTCCCCACAGTTTCCTCTCATCCCAGCTGTCCCCAGACGCATGTTTTTGTTGGTAGTTGTGCTCCTCTTGACTCATCCCAAATGGGGTGTGGTGGAGGAAGATATTTAGGGTGTGAGCCTTTCACAAAGAACAACTCCACCCTCACCTGTCACCCACTTGCCACTTTCACCGCATCACTCACCTGCTCTGTCCCATGGACCAAACAGATCAGTGCACCTATTTCATAGGCTCTTCTACACCCCCATTCCCAGTTCAGCTTACCCCCAGGTAGCTTAGACACCCCATGCCTCAGCCTGACCTGTTTCTCCCCAGCTGATATCCGCTGTCACTCCTGCTACAAAGTCCCTGTGCTGGGCTGCGTGGACCGGCAGTCCTGCCGTCTGGAGCCAGGACACCAGTGCCTAACAACAAATGTGTACCTCGGTAATATCTGCCTCTATAGTGGAAGAGGGACAAGTGGGACACTCTGTCTGGGACTGAGACCCAACCAGGGCTAAGACTAAGATGGAACAGAGAATTATAGCAATGATGACATTTGGCCAAAATGATTATATACCAGGCACTGGGCTTTTTTGTGTGTGCATGTGTGGTAATGGGTACTTTACCACTGAGCTACATCCAGTGCTTCCCACCTCCCTGACTTTCTTTTTCTTTTTTCTTTCTTTCTTTTTTTTTTTTTTAAGATAGGTTTTGCTAAGTTGCTGAGGCTGGCCTCAAACTCCCAGTGACTTGGGATTATAGGAATGTGCCACCGTGCCCAGCTTGACCTATGTCTTTATGTGCTCTGTTTCAATGAATGTTCATGACAATCCTATGATGTTGGTGTTAGTGTCAAATTGACTAAATACCCTCAAGAGAGATAAAACAGGCCCAAAGACCTCATGGCCAATCAGGATTGGGGTTCAGAATAAGGAGGTAGAGGAGTAAAATAGGCTGAGAAGAGATAAAGGGCAGGGCTGGGCAAATTTGCGAAGGAAGGAAGCCTGGGTGGGTGTACATGGTGGGGAGTGGGCATAGGTGTGCCAGGTGCCAATCCTAGCTGATCTCCCTGCCCACTCCACTCCTGCCTCTAGGAAAGATGTGGGTTTTCTCCAACCTGCGCTGTGGCACACCAGAAGAGCCCTGTCGGGAGGCCTTCAACCAAACCAACCACAAGCTGGGCCTGAACTATAACACCACCTGCTGCAGCAAAGACAACTGCAATAGCCCAGCCCCCCGGCCCACACCCACCCTGACCCTGGTTTTCCTCACTTCCTTGGCTGGCCTTGGCCTCTGGCTGCTGCACTGAGGCTCACTCTGTGGCTGTCCTTCCTCCCCACCTGCCTTAGCCAGAGCCTCTCTCCTTATGGCTCCACATCTCCTGTTTCCCAGAATGATCTTTCTCTGGCTCCCCTTCCTCTGAAGAGCGTTTCTCCAGTCCCTTCTCATTTCTTTAATGAAACAGTGCCCAGAGTGGTCTCCCTATCTATTTTTCCTAAACTGTACTCTCTGTTCTGTTTTTCCTGAGTCTTTCCCTTTAGACCACTCCAGATCCTCCACTGGCTCATGAAGGACTTCTACTTTGTCTTCTACACTCTGAGGTGCCCTCCTTGAGAGGAGGGATTGGGATCTGGGCCGGAAATGGGGCTTCTGTCCCGTCTCCAATGAAAGCCCCAGGAAGGACCTGATGACCTCACTCTATGGGACTGATTCACCAAACCCTCTACTCATCTTTTCCATTTTGAGTAATAAATGTCTGTGTCTAATAAATTGTGCATTCATTTTCAGAAGACTTTAAGTGTCAAACCCCCTCCCTGGATGTAACACTCTCAGCACCTTCACCCCCACCCCCCGCCTTCCCCTTACCCAAGAGTCTTTCAGGGAGTTTCCCTGGGAGGCTGGGCTCATGTAAATGAAGGAACAGGTTTTTCAGGTCTCCATCCTGTCTTTCAGTGTCTGGAGGTGGCACATAGGTCCCAGTGTTTGGAGAAACAACCCTTATCCTAAATTTAGCCACACCCTAGTGATATTCTGCTAAGGAGGAGATACAGCCTGGCTTTAGGTCTCCCCAGAGAGGTAGGAGAGGGATATGTGGATGGGGCCTCAGATTAGGATCTGAGGCCTTACCTGGCCTAGTTACTAACCAGGGTATCCAAGCAACTCTCCTATCGCTGGACTTATATTTCCTTTTCAATTCAAAATAGTCCTATCCATGCTTACCTAATGTGTGAAGCCCTGGGTTAAATCCCAGTACTGCAAAAAAAAAAAAAAAAAAAAGTCCTTTTGGGAACTAAGTTACAAATGGAGGAAAGGGGAACAAACCCAGACAGCCAAGCTCATGGAATCCTGGTCACTTCCACTCAGTCCAGAGCTTACTCTCCTTAGTAATCTGCATTACTAAGGTAGATCTTCCCTAGCAGCAAGATCCAGTAGTCACTAAGAGAGATTCTGCATCTTCCTTGGGGATTTTGTTGGTTAAGGGGTGCAATGTGGGATCGTGGTTGGGGTCCAGGACCAGAGAAAGGAGCAACCACTGTAACTAGGTCCATTGATGGGCCAGAAACCCTCAAACTAGAAGATAGATGTCCCCATATTGCTGCTTCAAGTTTCCCATCAACAAAAGGTAGATGGAATTTTCCAGTCAGCTCTAGATTTTAATGGCTCACAAAGAAGTGCTTACTTTCTCACCTTAGATGTTCAGAGCTCCCTTGTTTCCTTGCTCCCTTGCCTACCCTCATTCCCACTACCCGCTCCATAGTCCTGGCAAAAGCCAGACCAGGGTGGTGGCTGCTGCAACCAAGATGCATGCTGGGGCCACGGTGCTTGCCACAGCACTGTTGCATAGGTCTCCAAAGCAGCAGTTCCTGTGAGTTGTGTAAGTCACGTCTCCCACCAATTCTGTTTCCACTTGGTTGCAATGATGGGTGGCCACACAGGCAGGATGGTGATGACTCAGGGTCACTGAAGCTGAGAGAAAGAATGAAACCGGGGTGTTGGACTCTTGGCTTCAGGATTTGCCTTCTGGGGCAGAGCAGATGTGATTTCAAGGAGCCCAAGGGAATTCTCTGCCCTCTCAAAAAACACCTCCCTGAAACCAAGTGATCAAAGTTAACACATTAACATTGTTAACTGCTGCTCTGGTGTGCTGATAAGGGAACAACATCACTTCTATGGTATTCCTGCCTGAAATACATGACCTCAATCTTATCATGTGAAAGAAAATAGAAGTTAAACCAGTTGTGGTAGCACTTGCCTGTCATCCCAGCAATTTGAGAGGCTGAGGCAGGAGGATCACAAGATCAAGGCTAGCCTGGGGAATTTAGCAAGACCCTTCTCAAAATAAAAAAATAAAAAGTGCTTAGGATAGCTCAGTAGTAGAGCATCCTGAGTTCAATCATCAGTACTACAAAAAAAAAAAAAAAAAAAAAGAGGAAAAAACAAGTAAATAGACAAATCCAAATTGAGAGCAATCTACAAAACAACCTATCATAAAATTACATAAAAACAAAGTGATCTATCAGGGCTTTTCAAAAATATCAAAGTCATGAAAGACAAAGAAAGACTGAGCATTTGCACAGGCTGGAGAATGTAAAAAGACGTGAGAATGAAATGCAATGTGGGACCCTGATTTGTGTCCAGGACCAGATAAAGGACATGAGTGGAACAACTGGCTAAATCAAAAAGCCTAAATTAGCTAGTCATATTATACCAATGTGATTTTCTGATTTTGATAATTGTGCTACAGTTATGTGATATGTTAGCATTAAGGAAAGTTGAGTGAAGGATATACACGAACTTCCTGTACTACTTTTGCAAACATTCTGTCAATCCAAAATTATTTCAAATTAAAATATTAAAACATACACAATATACCTCTTAGCCAGTGCTTGAAAGTTGGCCCCTGACTTAAGGGACGAATTTCTGAGTAAATGGGCCTATGATTCTTTCTGGAGAATAAAGAGGAGGGAGGTAAAAGCCCAAGAACTGTGGGATGCTCAGGTGCTCAGTGCCAGGAACCAGAAGGGTACAGACTGCTCTTCTCCAACAGTGGCACCATCTGCCCAGAGCCAGACGGAGCCTGGAAGGTTCTGGAAGCCAGAGGAATAAAGTGGGGCCTAAAGGCAGGGAAGGGCTGAGGGTAGAGGGAGAAACTGAGGACTCACGGTTCTCAGACAGTTTGCTCTGTCCCAGGCCTGGTTGGGGTTTACGCTCCAAGAAGCCACAACGTTCACCCTCACCACAGATGGTCACGGTCCCTTTGCAGGAGTTGCTGGGGCCTCCACCACAGTTGTAGCACCGCATGCGGTTTCCTGGCAGGAGAGGCAGGAGAAAAGAGGCACTGGACCTGGGGCTCTCTGGGGAGTTGCTGGCAGAGGGTAAGACAGGCCATATGAGAGGTGAATTGGCCTCTTTCTTACCCAAGGCAGCCCCCAGCAGTGTGCAGATCAGGATTCCAACAAATTGGGGTTTCATCATGTCTACCTGTGTCAGTAGGGCCTCTCCCTCCCTCCCACCCCCCTCCCTGGCCCTGCTCTGCCAGCCTTATATCCCCCTTGTTTTAGGCTTTATAGGGCTATAAAAAGGGAGGAAAGAGTCTTCCCCAGCAGGCGCCAGGGCCCCAGTGGAGACAGGGAGGGGCCTGTGGATGCTCTCAGCATCCTCTGGAGCCTCAAACTCCTCCATCTTCAGCAGTAGTTCAAAAATTATTGCTCAAGAACTCCTGGGGGTCTCTAAGACTCTGTCAAAGGGTCTTCAAGGGTCTTCCTTTTCCAATTCCATTGGATTATCTTTGAGGTTGGATTTTCAACCAAACAACGTATCCCTACAGACTGAATATCAAAGAAGTAGATATGAAAACCCTGCCATCTTAAGCTTGACATGAAATAGATTCACAAAAATGTAAAGCACTTCCACTCTTCTTACTGTGAAATTGAGAACTTGTATTTATTTTTCATAAAACTATTTCATTAACATGTAATAGGTTTATTGTTCTTATTTGTGAAACAAATCAATACCTATTTAAAATGTCTTATTTTAATTTCTAATACAATACATATTGATATAAAAAACATGAAAACAAACTCTTTGGGACATTTGGATATATATATATTTTTAAGAGTGTAAAGAGTTGGGTGCAGTGGTGCATGACTATAATTCCAGCAACTCAGGAGGCTGAGGCAGGAGGATTGCAAGTTTAAAGCAATTTAGGGAAGCTTAAGCAACTTAGCAAGACCCTGACTGAAAAAAAAGTTAAAAAAAAAAGTAAAAATAAGAAGTAAAAGGGCTGGGGAGGTAAAGCACCCCTGAGGTTAATCCCCAGTACCAGAAAAGAGGGAGGGAGGAAGGGAGGGAGGGAGATAGACAGAGAGACAGAGAGAGAGCTCCTGAGATCAAAGTTTTTAAATACTGCTGCTCAGTGTCTCCCCTGCCCTCACCCTTCCAAGTCTTCCTTATTCCTCCTTAGTCTTTTTTGTGGTCCTGAGGATCAAACCCAGGGCCTCACCCATGCTAGGAAAAGCACTCCTTCACTGAACTACACCCACAGTCCTGTCTCCAATCTCTTAAACCCCAGTCAGCCAGACTCTGCCACACTCCCCCGTCCCTACATTCTATCCATGCCTTTGTTCCTAGTCTCATTCTTCCCCAGTGGAAGCACATCCACCCAGCCCCACCCATGATTAATTTTTTTCCTCCAAGGTAGTAAAGCTGGGAGGGATAATTATGGGGTGGGAATGTTGAGGCTTGGGGGGGATCAAAGGTATATGAAGCAGGGTGGGGCTGGCCCCTCCACAGCTGGGCAGTGTGGGTGGGTCCCCTCCACAGCTGGGCTGTGTAGGTGGGTGAATGAGTGTTGTTGATTCCACCTTCAAACATCACATACACTCTAATGATCTAGGCCAGGACTGTTTAGGAGTGTAACCTTGAGAAGCACACATGCGCTGAGGGGACAGAGAAAACAAAGAATAAGAGAACAGAGAACAGCTTGAGATGGGGAGCAAGGGAGGGGAGCAGAAGGGAAGGCGACAGACATAACTCAGGAGCAGCAGACAGAGCTGAGTTATAAACACTGAGAGAACAGAGAAGACCCTCAAGGCACAGGCGGGGAGGGGGGTGAGAGACAGGGGCTTCGGAGCAGAGGGCTGGGGACCCTGTTGAGTCATGCTGGTGAAATCTATCCTATTCCACCCCCAGGTTCTCTCCCTAGGTGTGTTTGTTTACTGGTCCCTCCCTGTCATGCTCAGATGTTCCTTCTCGGGGTGCAGATCACATTCTCCCAGATTCCTGAGCCCAGGTTCTGCCATGGGCACCTCCAGCATCTTCCTCTGCGTCTTGTTCCTCTGTGGGGCATTGGGTAAGGGTGGACTGGGGAATCCTCAGGGGGCAGGGGGCAGGGGGCTGGGGCAGGGGCTGGCAGATTCTGAGGATTGGAAGGGAGAGGGAGCTGGGAGAAGCCAACAAGAGAGCAGGAAAGACTTTGGGGAGACCAGCCACTGGGATGGCCTCAGGCCAGTTGACAATGTGAAAGAGCAGAAGTTGCCTTTCAGAGGCACTGTCTCTTCCTTGCTGGTCTTTGACTTGCCTCTGTGTCTCTTGTTCCTTATCTCACCTCTTGCTTTTGTGCTGGACCCCTCAGTCAATGTCAATTCCCATTTTCTTTTCTGCCTCTGATGCCATCTACTTAAAGTTTTTTCACTTTCCCCCTCCACCTCTTCACCAATCTCTCTCTCTCTCTCTCTCTCTCTCTCTCTCTGTATGTGTGTGTGTCACCAATCTCTCTCTCTCTCTCTCTCTCTCTCTCTCTCTCTCTCTCTCTCTGTATGTGTGTGTGTTTCTCTATGCTTGTCTCTGATTCTTTTGGCTTCTGTTCATGTCTGCACCTCCCTTTAATTCCCTTTGCCTCTCTGCATGTTTCTTTTCATTCGTTCTCTCTCTTCCCTTTCTTATTTTTCTACTTCTGTCTGCCTCCATTTTATGGTTCCTCTGTCCCACTTTGTGTGCCATCTCTCTCTGTATGTCCCTCTGCCAGCTCCTTTGGGGTTCTGCTTTTTACCTTCTTGCCCTGATCTCTGCTGACCCAACAGGTCTCACCACTTCCCCTGCCCAGGGACAGCTTCACTGTTACACCTGCAGCTTCGCCAAGCCTTGCTACCCTGTACCCACAGAGTGTCAGGATGATGAAGCTTGTGGCATCACTGTTGGCACCTCAGGTAGGAGTATGGTCCATTGGCCCTTGTCCAGGTGGCTCCCTACCTGTCTCCTTCCTGCCTTTCCTGCTGCCCTCCGCCTCAGCATTCCTCCTTCATCCCACAGACCAGAATGAGATCATCGAGCGGAAAGGCTGCCTCCCAAGGACCCAGTGCCCTCTGCCAGGTCATGCCACCTACTGGTCACGTGCCTACATTCTGCGGCACCACTGCTGTGAGCAGGACCTGTGCAACTCGGCTGTCACAGCACAGTGGCTCCCCAGTCTCTTCCTCACCACCCTGCTCCTCCTGGTGGCCAATTTTGCCTGGGGAGGCCAACTCCTCCACTAGCCTTGTGTGGACTCTCAGCCCCCAACCCAAGACTCCTTCACCATCAACATGGTACTGGAAATACCTGCATGGACACTTTTGAGACATGCCCAAGAACCTGATTTTGTACACAATCCTTAGACTCCTAGACCCAACACCTCCACAGACCCCTCCCAAGACCTGTTTCCCATGGGCACTGCTCTAGCCCTTGTAGGCACCCACCCAAAGCCCAGCCTCATAAGAAACATCTGCTCTGTGTCTTTTCCAAACGCCTGGTGCTGATGTCTTCTCTCAGCCCCAGGTGCCTAGCAAGATGCCATTTTGATAGAGCTGTGGTCCCAGGCAAGCGAATTGAAAGGGCACAAGGTATGGTGATGAGGAAGGTCTTTCTGGGAAAGATGTAACATAGTAGGTGGGGAACTATAGAGTACATTTAATAAAGGAGTTATCTGGGAACCTAGCAATGGTTCAGTGTGTGCAGGGTGTGTGTGTGTGTGTGAATGCACGGGTGTGCTCTCTAAGAATGAACTATAGCTGCCTGGCAGGTTGGGCTGGAGTGCTGGAACCTAAACAATATTCTCCTCATTTTCCATCTGTCATCTCATTCTCCTTCCTGCCAGTATTTTAGCTTAAGCCGCTGTAGCATGAATGTTTTAGGCAAGATATCAAAGGAAGTTTTTCTCCAGGGAAGCCCAGACTTGAGCCAAGACCCAAAAGGGGAACTGATAGGGTTACTTTATGAGGATGTGGCCTGGAGTCCAGCTCATCTCTGCCTGAGACTGGGGACTGGCCAACTTGGGAGTGTGAATGCCGTTCCCCACTGACCAGCCCAAACTTGTCTGTAGTTCATAGGTGGCCAAGCATAACCAGCCTCACTAGGGAATCCCACCTGCTAACCCTTGTGGACACTCTTCTCTGCTTAGGGAGAAGCAGAGAAGGTTTGGGGGTGGGAGAGGAAACACTGGGGTTGGATTGGGGATAAGGCTCTGGTTCCTGAGGAAGTAGAGAATAGAAAACTATACTTAATCTGACAGTCTGCTTTACAAATCCCACAGCCCACCTGCCCACAAGACCAGGTGATCTTGGTGACATCATGGGTAGCGGCTGGGCCTTATTGCCCTCTGTATCCTTACCACCTTATATGGTATCTAGCATGTGGTGAGACTAAGCAAGTCTTAGAGAATAAAGACTTGGCTCACACACTCTCCAGGGTGTGAGCCATGGGCACAGGGAGGTAGTGTTCCTAGGAGTCTGAAGTGATAACTGTTTAGCTCTGAATGCCACAGTGGAGCCCCACAGGGAAGTGTGTGTGCCATGGATAAGGAGGGAGTCTGGCTGGAGGTGGAGCGTAGGCACCCCCATTCTGACTTGGTTCCTTTCCTTCCATTTGAGGAAGTCTGTGAGCTGATTAAATATGTTTGTTCCCTAGTTTCTTTGTGAGAATGAGACTTAGCGGGTGGGGAGGTCTGGCTTAATTTGGAGGCATGTTGAGTCTTCTTTCCATTTTCTGTCCCTTAGTTCTCCCACTTTGCACTTCTGTTTTTTTTCTCTCTCTCTCGGTTTCTTTTTATTTTAACTTTAGTCTCTTTCCTTCTCTGTTCCTCAGTTTCCCCCATTCTTCTTTAGATTCCCCTGTGACTCTAGATTCCTTTATCTCCTCCCTGCCTACCTCACCCCTTCTCACCCTCAACAGGTACTCCAGCCTCCCCTCAATTCTATAGTATTGCATGCTCAGGGCCATCCCTCCTCTGGCCAAGTCAAGACACAAAACCACACCTTTTTGTAGGTGACATCATGAAATAATGCTACACCTTTTCTTCAGCTCCCCCATCCCCATTTCCCAGGTAGCCTGAGGGCTGCAGGAGGCCAGATAGACAGTAAGTCACATTCTCTGCCCACCTCCCAGCCCTACATCCCCGCTGAGGTTTTCAGGGAATTTTTCAAGTGCCAGATGACCAGGGAGAGAGAGAAGGTCACAGTTCCCAGCAGCAGATGTCACCAAGATCACCTGGTCTTGTGGGCAGGTGGGCTGTGGGATTTGTAAAGCAGACTGTCAGATTAAGTATAGTTTTCTATTCTCTACTTCCTCAGGAACCAGAGCCTTATCCCCAATCCAACCCCAGTGTTTCCTCTCCCACCCCCAAACCTTTTGCAATTTAGGCCTCTGTCCCCTGTTTGTTCCTTACCTGAGACGGGCCAAATGGATGTTTTCATAGATCTGGATTTCAGGTTTAAAGTGAGGAATGGAGGCATCTGGGGAGAAGTAGTCAGAATGTGTATAGAAGTCTCTAGATAATTCAGTTGTGTTCTTTTCTACTCCCTCCCCTAGAGAGGACAAGGTTCAGAAGCAAGATATGAACCTTTGCCTCACATATGCCCTCTTCTCCCTTCTGGAAGAGGGGGGACTCACCTCTGCCCTGAACCTCCCGGACTCTCCGCCTCCAGAGCATGATGCTGAGAGCTAGGATGGTGAATGCCTGGCCCACTGTGAGTGACAGCATCAGGATCCAAGTCACATCCCAGGCCATGGAAGGTACAGTGAGGTTAGGAGAAGCATCCATGGAGGCTGTAGTCAGAGCAAGACAAGAGGGATAAGGAAGGAGGCAGTGAGGGGACCTGTCCCTGTACCCCAAAGACAAACTCCTCCCAATCTGGTAGGATCTTCCTACAGAAGACTTCATGAGCTTCCCTGACCCAATATCCACCATCCCACTTTGCTCTTTTCCAGACCTCTCCCCCTGACTCCATGGGTAGTAGAAAACCTCAATAGAGAACGACAGTGTTGCCCTGTTCATATGTGGACAGCTAGCTCTAGAACAGACCACCAGCCAAAACTGCCCTCATAGTAATTCAACTTTTCAAGAAAAAATAAAGTGTCTTCCATTTATTTGTTCTTCCATTCATTCTTTATTCTCTAAGACTTGCTTAGTCTCACCACATGCTAGATACCATATAAGGTGGTAAGGATACAGAGGGCAATAAGGCCCAGTCGCTACCCATTGACTGGCCTTTGATTCCCCAAAGAGTAGCCATTTGCTTCACATCCTGATTTAAATTAGTTATTCTACATCCAATAGTATTCATTCTCTCTTTAATGACCTTTTTTCTACTTTTTTTGTAGAACAAATATATATTTTTTCCTTTTGTCTTCCCTATCAATGGGCCATTGAAACACTAGTGCATATATCCTTTCTTCAAAAGCAACTGCCCCCAAAATAATCCTTATTTTCTTCATCTCTGCTATAGGATATTCCACAAAATCATAAATTACACTATTTCTAAACAATGGTATATTCCACTGAAATATATACAACTTTGCTGCTAGTCTATTCCTCCAGAAAGTTGGCTTAACCAATCCCTTTCTCTGTTATGGACTCAGTCAATGATAAAAATTGCCTCCTCCTACCAGCAATGAATGATCTGCTCCAACAGAAGTCACCTCAACCTGTCCCTAGTTGTCTCCTATCCCACCTACTTTCTTATCAGCAGGTGAGGGATGTTCCCCCACTCTGGCACATCTCCTCCCCTCGGTTTACCTGCCAGGCTAAAGCTGACTCCTTTATTCTGAGACACGAGGCAGCGGATGATTCTTGGTCTATGGCCCTTGGGCTCAGGAAACCCTTCCCCAGGACACACCAAGAGCAGGGCAGCCCCATCACCCCAGAAGGAATGAACACGTCCTCTCACAGGACCCTTCCCCTCCAGCCAAGTCACAGAGTCCAGACGTCTGACAGGGACCACAGAGCACAATAGGACAGAGCAGGAGGATCCATCTGTAGCCTTTGCAGAGAACTGGGATCCTGTGGAGGAAAGAAGACCTTTCAGTTCTTTGGGCTTCCCCAGTCCCTACAGCTCGCAGTCTCTGGGTTCTTTTCTACTCCCTCCCCATTCAACCTTAGGTTCCTTTATGACTGGTACCTTACCTTTGAGAACAGAGACATCATACACTCTCCAGTTCTGATACCTGTGGTGCTCACCCAGCACGGTGCACCAGTACCGCCCAGCATCTGCATCCTTGGACCCCTCCAACCACAAGGAATAGTTTCCAAGGAGTTTGAGCCTGGATTCTTTTCCAGGTTTCCTAAGGTTTGGGATTGACCTGGTCACTTGGACCTGGGCCACCAGGATGGTGGAGGAGCCTGCTCCAGGGCTGTGGAACCATGATAGGAGTTCATCTCCATGTAGGGTGGGTGGTGAGGGACACGGCAGCTCCATCGCTTCCCCCAAGGCTACATAGATGACCTGGATGTTGTCTGTGAGGAGACAATTGTATGAGGCCAGAGACCTCCATTGCATCAAGGCCCCACTTGTCCTCCAACCCCTGGCTCCCTCCCTCTATAGGGTCTCCCAGCAGTGACTCAACTGATGAACACATTTCTTAAGTGACAACTACAAAGAAAGAGAGGTGGAAGGAAGAGTGTACAGACTTTCCTTCCCCCCTCCCCAAGCTGGTGGAAGGGTCTGGAGATGAGAGAAAAGCCTGGAATAGTTGGCAAATGCCCATCTCTTTAGACATTTACTCATCTGCTTTTATTTTCTAAAGGAAACTGTACATAACCTGGACCCTCATTTCTTCTGGGTCTTCACCAGTGGTAGAGGCAGGGAGAGGTCAAATGGGTAAATATGTATTCTTGAGTTGGATGCATTCTCCAGACCTCTAAGGAGAAAGATCAGCAATCCCTCCCTAATCTTGCAAATAGCTGAAATATCTCCCACCTCCTGCCCCTTACCTGTAGCAGCCTGGGGGAGCCCACAGAGGAACAGAAGAAGGAGAAATAAGACTGCCATGGGGAGAGACTGCCAAGTTCTTTCGCTCTAAGACCTGGGGTTACTAGGGAGGAAACAGAAACTAGATAAAGGCCCATACTCCCTGAGCTGGAGTGACATGGGCCTCTGGAAGGGATGAGAATGCTGGGGAGATAAAACCCAGTTGCATGTCTACTGGGGAAAATGACCCCACCTTTCTGTTTTGGGGGTGGAGGAGAAACTGACTCAAGCCACTTTTACGTAGATGGGGTTCCAGGTCTCTATCTCCAGTCAGTTTGGAGGTATATTCTGTGATCTTTCTTCCACTCCTGAGAAATATTAGCCATGAGCCAAGGTCCTGAGTTCTTCATGGAACCCAATACAGAGCTGGACATACAGTTAATGCTCCATAAATGATTGGAGTGAGTTTTGCTGTGGTTTCCTGGTATACCACAGACCTCTCTCTCTCTCTCTCTCTCTCTCTCTTTAATTGTGGATGAACATTTTAATTATTTTTATTTATTTATTTTTTCTGTGGTGCTAAGAATTGAACCCAGTACCTCACACATGCTAGGCAAGCACTCTTCTACTGGGCCACAACCCCAGCACCTCTAGAATTCTTGAGAAGTATTCTAAGCTATTAATCAAAGAGAAGAATAGCAGGGATCTGGATTATTCATTAATTCATCCCTCTGCTCCAGGCAAGACTGAAGGAAGCTCTTTATACAGTTCTAAAAGTTTTTAATGTGTTATTTATTTTAATTAATTAATTAATTTTGGTGCTAGGAATCAGATCTAGGGCTTCATGCATGCTAGGCAAGTACTTTACCATGAGCACAATCCCAGCCGCTAAATTAATTAATTTCCTTATTTTTGTTGTACTGGGGATTGAACAGGGCTTTGTGCATACTAAGCAAGCGCTTTGCCACTATCTGCTTGTGTTTTTGAGGTGCTGGGGAATCAAACTGAGAGCTTTGCCATGCTAGGCAAGTGCTTTACTGCTGAGCCACAGTCTAGCCCCTTAAATTTTCCCCTTCTCCTCCTCCTTCGCCCTCCTTCTCCTCCTCTTCTTCTGTTTTTTTTTTTTTTTTTTTCCCTGTACTGGAGATTGAACCCAATATCACTTTACCATTGAGCTATATCCAGCCCTTTTTTAAATTTTGAGACAGGGTCTTCCTAAATTGCCCAGGCTGGCCTTGAATTTGCTATCCTCCTGCTTCAGCCTCTCAAGGAACTGGGATTATAGGCATGCGTCACTGCACCTGACCTTAAATTATTATGTTTTTTTTCTTGTTGGTGCATTATAGTTATACATATAGTTGGATTCATTTTGATGAAATGAAGTCATACATGCATGGATTTTAATTTATTCCATTACTGTTCCCAGTGTCCCCCTTCCCTTCCCTTTTCCCTCTCCCTATTCTCCTTACTCTATTGATCTTTCTTTCATTAATTTATGTAATTATCTAAAAAAAATTTCAGTTGTAAATGGACATAATACCTTTATTTATTTACTTTTTTATGTGGTGCTGAGGATCAAGCCCAGTGTCTCACGCATGCTAGGCAAGTGCTCTACCACTGACTACAACCCCAGCCCCTATTTAATCGATTGGTGCTTTAGAGATATACATAAATGTGGAATTCACTATGGTATATTTATACATGCACAAGCATAATTTTGTCAAATTTATTCTGCATTTAAATTATTTTTGCTGATTATTTTTGATGAAATTCTTCATACCAGACTACATATGAGGTACAACTATATAAAAGCTAAAACTGTGAGATATATATATATATATTTTGGGGGGGGTGGGTACAGGGGATTAAACCCAGAGGGATTTTACCATTGAGTCACATCCCCATCCTTTTATTAATTTTTTTTTTAAATTTTGAGACAGAGTCTTACTAAGTTGCTTAGGGCCTTACTAAGTTGCTGAGGCTGGCCTCAAACTTGCGATCCTCCTGCCTGAGCCTCCCAAGTTGCTGGGATTACAGGTATGGGGCACTGCTGCTGGCAAACTGTGGTATATTTACAGGATGGAACACTGGATAGTAAAGAGAACAAACACAGCCCTGCTATGAAGTTGAATCTCACAAGTGTCATCAGAGTAAAAGAAGTCAGACACAAAGAATATGTATTGTGTGATTTTTATTTATATACAGTAAAAAAAAATGGAAAACAAATGTGTGGGTGAGAAATTCAGAGAGTGGAATATCTTGGGGTGGGTGGGGGGGCAGGTAGCAATTGGCAGGAATCCAGAGGTTCTTCTGGGTGCCATAATGATTTGTTCTTGATTTGGGTGCTGAATACATAGATTATTCACATCCATCCCTTTTTTTGTATATGTGTTTACTTCAATAAAAAACTAGAGTATATATATTATGTAGGTGTAAGATACAATGAAAATAAAACAAATCTGTATATATGTTAAGAAAGAGAACATTACCATTTCAGTCAAAGTTACCTTATACTGTATACTATTTTAAATTTGGTCTTTGTCTTTCACTTGTTTTATTATTAAATTTTATGTGGTTTTGACTTTCATACAATGCTATCATGTTCTATTTTTCTTATGTGGTTTTCTTTCTTTCCCTGAACATGATGGTTTGTTGTGCAATTCCTCCATGCTTGAGAGTGATAATTCATTCATTAAAAAAAAAAAAAGAAAAGAAAAAAAAAACAAGTATTACACATACTTTAACAATGTTGTTTTCCTATGATCCTCCTATGGCTCTTCATTTACTTAAGCCTTTATTTACCTAGTTCAATAACTTTGTTTTTAAATATTTTTTTTAGTTGTAAATGGACCTTTATTTTATTTATTTATGTGTGGTGCTGAGATTTTAACCCAGTGCCTCATACATGCTAGGCAAGTGCTTCACCACTGAGCTACAATCCAGACTTCAATAACTTTTTTATATTTTTTTCTCATAAAAATCTAGCATTTCTTTTATTACCTATACTGTTAGACACCTTATCTTTTTTATAGCTCTTGTCAAGTGCTCCTAATCTTGTGTTTAGTTAGTTACTGGCACTAGGGACTGAACCCAGGAGCACTTTACCACTGAACTACATCCCCAGCTCCTTTTATTTATTTACTTATTTTGATACTGGGTCTCGCCAAATTACTAAGGCCTCCCTAAATTCCTGAGGTTAGTCTTGAACTTGCGATCCTGCCTCGGTGTCCTAACTTGTTGGGATTACAGATGTGTGCCACAACGCCGGCAAGTACTCCTAATCTTCTCCAGGGTTTCTGCTATCACTCTAGAGTCTGTTCATATTAGAAAATAGAAAGAATGATTTAACAATTCCGGACAATTTTCTAACTTTCCCCGTTGCAAACGCTTCCTATTAATTTCTGACCATTGCTGTACCCGTAGGTCCAACAGCGCGAAACCCTTCCCAGTAAGCGCTGAGAAAGTCCAGACTCGGCACGAGGCGGAGCCGGTACGTGTTGACGTCAAGGGCACGCAACACCTCAGAGGCAGGGGAGGGCGGGGCCAGTAGGGGGACCTGCTGCTGGAAGAGCAGCGGCCCGAGCCGGGGCCATGGCGAAGCTACTGAGCTGCGTCCTCGGCCCCCGGCTCTACAAAATCTACCGGGAGAGGGACTCAGAAAGGGCCCCATCCAGCGTCCCTGAGACTCCAACTTCAGTCACTAATCCCCCTACCAGCTCCTGGGTGAGTCGAGTTCCTCCCTGGTCAAGAACATGGTACAGCCCAAACCTTTTACGGCCTTTGCTCCCCAGAAGTGCCCACTATTGGAAATAAGGGGAGTCTGCTTGTCAAGCCGGTTGTCCGAAAAGTCTGCGCTGTTTGTGTTTCCAGGGTTCAAGTCACGCCTATGGACTACCCGCCTTCTCTCTTCATCGTTGTTTGAGCACTGCTTTCTCATTCCACTACCAGTCTTTGCTTTTTCCTCCCCGCATCCCCCCCCACCCCATCTGTCATGGTTCATGCCGGCCCCACTTGGGTCTCAAGTCCTGCAAGAGACCCTGTGCGATTGGGGATCCGGTGGATTTTGCCGTCATACTCCCAATTTCTTCTTCGGTTTCCTTTGGTGCCTCTCCGGGCTTTGTTTATTTTTCCCTTTAACCTGGCATTGAGTTTCAAAATGACTTCTGCGCATCATGTATCTGCCTATCATGTATCTGCCGTTCTTCCCCCAACACACACACCCTCCAAACCTAGCCTGGAGACCCCAGGGTCATTGCATTTACGAAATCTTCGGGTAGTGATAGGCTATTCCCCTATTCTCTTCCTTTTATTGTTAGTCTCAAGTTATGTTTACTAACCTCTACAAACTGCCCACTCCTAGCCACATTCTTTCTTTTCTTTTTAAATATTTTATTTTTTAGTTGTAGTTGGACATAATACCATTATTTTATTTATTTTTATGTGGTACAGAGGATCGAACCCAGGGTCTCGCACCTGCTGGGCGAGTGCTCTACCACTGAGCCACATCCCCAGCCCCACATTTTTTCTTAATCAACCTACTCTTATTTCTGTTGCTCTTCTTTCCCTCTTAGAATTGTCATGGTGTCTTTCCTTTCTTCTCACTAACCCTGCTCCCTGTAGGGACATGCTCAACCCATTTGCAACTGGGTTGTGAAAAAGAAGCAAAAGTTGCCCAATACTGCTTTCACTTTTGCTTATAAGTCCAGCACCCTGAGCTTGTTCTCATGGTCAAGGATGGGAAATCATGTTCAGGGTGGGGGTGGGGAAGAAAGTCTTTTGTAGAGGCTAGGAGTGTCTCAAGAGAAATAGCCAAGCAGGCTAGAACCAAAGGATGCATATTAGGGCTTTTGAAAGGGAAGAGGTAAGACTTTTTAATGGTCAGGGTCCTTAATGGGGCCATCTATTTTGGCAGGATACATACTATCAGCCCCGTGCCCTGGAGAAACATGCGGACAGCATCCTGGCACTGGTATGTCTACCCCAGTATCTGCTATTCACTGCATCTTTTCAGACCCAGCTGCCCTCTTGAACTTACTTTTCCCCAGGCCTGGGAGAAAGCAGTGCCCCTGGGGGTTGAGGGTGCTCTGAGCTTTGCTGCAGACCTTTCCAACACACACACACAGACACACTCTCAAGTGTGTACAGTTGGCACTCCCCTTTGTATGAAGCAAAACTTTCTCTGGGGAAGCCTAAACCCTGAGGAAAACATGTTTACTCTTGGGACCATCTGCAGGTGCTAAGTCCTGCAGTCCCCTGTGACCTGTCCTCCCTGGCAACTAACCTCTTTGGCTGCAGAGACAGCTGTTCTCTCTGGCAGGGTTCCTATGGTGACGTTTGTGCATCTCTGGTCCCTGGGGACCAGGCCAGGGACTGTCCTGAGCAGGGCAAATTGAAAAGACTTGATTAACTGGAGTATTTAGAGACTGGTCTTTAAATGTGATGAGATTTTGTCTGGGAATGATTAGAGGAATAAAATAGAATCTGCACCTAGTTTTCCCAGCCTGCATTATGCTATGATGCCCTACCTTTCAACAAATATTAAGCACTTTCTGTGTGCATGATGTCATCCACAGAATAGATACTTGATATGATATTCCTCAGGTTATCTACCTTGCTCAGAGTCCAGGCCTGGAAATGGTAGACCTGTATGCATGTGTGCATGTGAGTATATTGATTGCCTGTCCCTATCTCTCTGCTGCAGGCTTCAGTCTTCTGGTCCATCTCTTATTACTCCTCTCCCTTCGCCTTCTTCTACTTGTACAGGAAAGGTCAGTGTGGTTTCAAAGGTGGTGGGGTAGGAAATGGGCAGGTTGTTGGCAGGTGAACCACCCCCCTAAAGAGGAAAGAGAACCTGTGAGGATGGCTTGGCTTCCCTCTTCCATCAGGCATATATTCTTCCTCTCAGGGTGTGGCTATTCCAAAGAGAGGTGTTGGGGGAGATTGGGGGCTAGTGGGGAAGAAGAGCTGAGGAGCACTGTGGAGAGCTTCTCATATCATCCCTCTCCCCTCCCAGGTTACTTGAGTTTGTCCAAAGTGGTACCGTTTTCTCACTATGCTGGGACATTGCTGCTGCTACTGGCAGGCGTGGCCTGCCTCCGAGGTAGGTGGAAAGGAAGCCTAGTTTGGATTTATCCATCACTGGGTAAATACTAAGTTATTTTTGCGAATACAGTTTGGTGCTGGGTCCTGAGGGGGAATAACCATGGATGGTCTAAAGCACAATCTTTTCCCTAAGGAGCTAGAGAAATTCCTGCACAAGTATAAATAAGAATATAGCATGCATCATTTATAATAATCCTATTGGAAACACCTCCAATGGTCATGACATATAGGATGGATAAATAATACTTTATGGTATAACCATAGAACACTACACAGCAATGCAAATGAACAAACTATATCTACACTTACTGCAGATGAATCTTACAAACATATGAAGTGGAAGAAGTGCACCACGATTTGATGTATGTAGTATGTTTTCACTTATATAAAATTTAAAAGGAATACTTATGTATGTGATAAGTCACTCAAAAGAACAAGGGCATGCTTATTTTGAAAGTAAGGTGAATGATTCCCTGGGGTGGAGGAATACAGGATGGGAAGACTCCTGACTGCAAGTGGCTCTCTTTATCTTGAACTGGGTGATAGTCACATCAATGTTTACTTTGTAGGGTCTTTTTTTTTTTTGCGGGGGGATATCCAGGAGTGTTAGACCACTGAGCTACATCCCTAGCCCTTTTTATCTTTTATTTTAAGATAGCATCTTTTTAAGTTACCCAGCTGGCCTCAGTCTCTTGAGTAGCTGGGATTATAGGTGTGTGCCACCACACCTCACTTGCTTTGCATTTTTTAATCTGAATGTGTGTTTTATGTATATATGTTACATCTTATTAGTAAAAAACAAAACAAAACGGCAAAACAAATCATTGAGACTTGGTGGGTACATATTAATGACCACCAGGTGAGGGAGATGCTTCAGAGTGGAGATGTGGGGTTGGGGCTGGATGGTTACAGTTGGGGTCACTCAGGTGAGGGCCCCCTGCCTGAGGCATTCTTACCCCTGATTTCTGTTTGGCTGGGCTCCCTCCTCTGAGTGACTTTTCCTGACCACTTGTCTCAAAAGTAGCTTATACTACTCAAGTTTCATCTTATTTTTTTATTTATTTTTAATTTAGAAAAAAACCAAAAATCTAGAGAACAAAATATTTTAAATATTACAATGCTTGTGTTTTTTGCTATTTGCCTTGGTTACCTTTTTTGGGGAGGCGGGTACCAGGGATTAAGCTCAGGGGCACTCAACCACTGAGACACATCCCCAGCCCTTTTTGTATTTGATTTAGAGACAGGGTCTCACTGAGTTGCTTAGTGCCTCACTGCTGCTGAGGTTGGCTTTGAACTCTTGAAGTTCCTGCCCCAGCCCCCCAAACCACTGGGATTACAGGCGTGCACCACCACACCCAGTTTATTACCTTTTTTTTTTAATCTTTATTTTATTTATTCATTTTTATGTGTTGCTGAGGATCGAACCCATTGCCTCACATGTGCTAGGCAAGTGCTCTACCACTGAGCCAGAATCTCAACCCTGGTCTGTTACTTTTGTCAATAAAATATCAAAGCATTACAGTGGACTTGTATTTGCCATTGGAATCCTCCCAGCCCCACTTCCTCTTTGCCCAGAAATAATCATAGTTCATCTGGTGGACTATGATCTGGTCCATATTTTTGTACTTTTATGAATAATATACCTTCTTTTATCAAATCTAAGCTAACATTCATTGAAAAATGTATATTAATTTTAGAGTTTTCAAATGTTAAAACAATTCTTCTTAGAATCTATGAAATATGGTAAGAATCTGTAAACAATACAGTGTGATTTTGTGCATTTTACATTTTTGGCATAGGTGGCATTGCTCCATACAAATCATTCTGTATCTTGCTTCTTTTCTCATTGTCATATTGTTCAGGGGCATTACCCTTGAAAAAGTTCTAGTTCATGGGGGCTGGGGATGTGGCTCAAGCGGTAGCGCGCTCGCCTGGCATGCGTGCGGCCCGGGTTCGATCCTCAGCACCACATACAAACAAAGATGTTGTGTCAGCCGAGAACTAAAAAATAAATATTAAAAAATTCTCTCTCTCTCTCTCTCCCCCACTCTTTCTTTAAAAAAAAAAAAAAAAAAAGTTCTAGTTCATTCTGGTTTTATTGTTGTTGTAGCACTTAGACCATTCTGACAATTTTTTAAAAAGTTTATTGACTTTTCCCGGTTCCACCTCACCCCTATCAGAATGCCAGCTCTGTGAGGCAGGGAGCTATGCATCTCATTTCCTGCCTGTCTCCCCTGGGTGGAACAGTCCCTGGCATACAACACCTGCCAGGTCAGTGAGCAGTAAGGAGAAAAGTTGGGATTTGATATTTCTCAGCAGTAAGGGAGAGTGGATGTGATCCTGAAGGGGGAGAGGAGTCAGCACTGAGAATTGCTGCCCTTCCCAATGGGAAGGAGAAAAGAGGCAGGAGAGAGGCAGTGTGGGAATCCTAAGGAAGCTAGGGCAAGCCCAGGAAGCAGTGGAAGAAGGAATCTGGAGGGACAGGAAGAATGCTGAGTGGAGCAATTGAAGAGAATAAGGACAGAGGAAGGGTACATAGATTCAGTGATGAGATAATTATGGGCAAGGGCAAGAGAGTGTGAAGCCAGATGGCAAGGGTTAGAACATACAGAAAGCAAGCACTGGAGAAGTCTGGAAGGGAAAAGTCAGGAATCCTGATGTTAGCAAAAGGGAAGAGTAAGGTTGGGTGACAGTGTTTTAAGACCAAGGAGAATGAACATTCTGAAAGATGGAAGCTTGCTAGTCTATAAAGAAACAAAATGAATCTCCAGCACTGAAAGAAAAAAATAGACAAACTGAAGAAGCTAAGGAATTGAAGAATTCTTTAGCCTTTTGCTGGATGTGGAAGAAGGAGGAAGGTCTGTTTCCCGACATTGTAGGCTCTCAGTTCCTTTTTCTCTTACCTTTCCTTCCAGGGCCTTCTTACCCATCTCTCCCTAAGACCAAGACATCTTCCTTCCTTGTTTTCCCAATAAACTACTTCCTGTCCTCTCTCTGCCAGGCATTGGCCGCTGGACCAACCCCCAATACCGGCAGTTTATCACCATCTTAGAAGCAACACATCGGAACCAGTCTGCAGAAAATAAGGTGAGAAGTTCTAGGAAAGGTGTCAGACAACATACCCTGCTAGCAGCTTCCTCAGCTGCCCCCAGAGCTCCAGGCACCAGCTTCTGCCAGGAGGAGGTGGTGTGCTTTGCCACCCACCACACTGGGTCTTTGCCTGCATATATTGCTGTGTCCTTTCCCTACTCCATAAATGAACTGTCCTCGCTATCACTTCTTATGAATATTCTGTTAGAACAACCCTCTTCCTCTCCACTTTCAATCCACAAGAATTGTCTAAAGGTAGAAACATTCATAATATTTCTTTCTTCTTCTTCTTCTTCTTTTTTTTTTTTTGCAGTACTGGGGATTAAATTCAGCATCTCAGAGATGTTAGGCAAGTGCTTGTACTACTGAGCTACATCCCCAGCCCTCCATAATGTTTCTTGGGAGAGTTTTCTATCACAGCAACTCAGTTCTATAAATATTTGTTTTTGTTGTATGCACTGAACACCATGCTAGCTTTGTTTGGGGATGGGACAAGATGGACAGGCATAGCCACTCCTGTGCCCGAGAGCACAGCGTGGCTCCAGGAGGCAGAAAAGCCAGGGCACAGTGTCCTTGAAGTTGTGCCAGGTTTGCCAGTGCTGGAGTGTGATTATCTTTGAGAAGGGGCTATGGGGCCCCATGAAGCTCCTTCCTGTTTCTGGGATCAGATAGCTATGATTACCATCATTGCCTTGATGATTACTCCATACCACCATTTATGGAGCTGTGTAATAATGCTCTGTACCTTGCCACTGTTCTGAGACATTTTGCATAATGCATATGTCCTTTCTAATTCTCATAACAGCTGTGTGAGGTAGCATAATTACCCTCATTTGTATATCTGAAGAAACATAGGCAAAAAGAGAGGTTAAGTGACTTGTGCAGAGTCACAGAGCAAGGAAGTGGCTGAGTCTAGATTTGAGAGCAGATCTGAACAAAGCCTGGCTGAAATTGGCTTTTCTTCATTTTGTTTTGTTTTGTCATTTATATTTTTGTACAATTTTTATATTGCTCTCTCTTAGTCAAGTTATTTTTGAAAATATCAAAAATTTCTCTGACAGGAGGAAAAAAAACCCTCCTCAAAATAGAGAGCCGGAGCTCTGGGGGTGGGGGAGGAACACAGTACAGCATGAAGATGCAGCTCCCATTGCCCGCAGAAAGCATGTGGGCTAACACAGCAGGGTGACCAGAGGCACAGATGGTCTGTGTGGCAGAACTGGCCCCTGGCTTCAGGAGTCGAAGAGAGGGAGCTGGCTGTGTGAATGGAATAGTCAGAGCTTTTTTTCCAGAATAGAGCCCACTGTGGTGACTTCCCTCCTGACACTCAGCCATGAGACCATCAGTTTGATCTGCTGGGGGATTTCGGAGCCACCAAGATGGCACCATTTAAGGCATCCAGGTAGAGAAGGGAATGTGACCAGCCAATGGGCCCCCACTCTCTATATCTGAAGCACCTGCTAGGGGTGGGTCAGTCTTAGATTCTTTAAAAAGAAAAGTTAGTTTCCTTGTCTGGAAGAGGGAAGATGGGTCAGCACTGATGCTCAAATAAGACACCTGTATTTCCCAATTGTTCTAGTCATAGTAGAGTTTCCATCTGAGAACTTGGAGGGTGCTGACCTCCACTTGGTCTCCTGTGACGTGTGGAGGCCAGGCCTGTGGATGACAAGGATGTTGAGGGTGGATGGGGACCACCCACCCTCAGTTCTGAATCCCCCTTTTCCTCTCCAACTCTTTCATACCCTGCTCACCACAGAGGCAGCTTGCCAACTACAACTTTGACTTCAGGAGCTGGCCAATTGACTTCCACTGGGAAGAACCCAGTAGTCGGTGAGACCCCAGTCCTCTTACTCTATCCCTTCCTTGGAACTGTCTCAGATAATCCCTGTACTGCTTGTCCCTGCCCTCCATCCCCTCTCAGGTCCCAGTGCCTGTCTTCTAGTGCCACCTTCTCATTCCTAGACCCCCACCTTTCTCTGGACCTCAGATATCCAGCTTTCTTTTCTTGACCCTATCTTCCCTTCTTTCTGTTTCTCAGGAAGGAGTCTCGAGGGGGCCCTTCCCGCCGGGGTGTGGCCCTACTTCGCCCAGAGCCCCTACACAGGGGAACAGCAGACACCCTCCTCAATCGTGTTAAGAAACTGCCTTGTCAGATCACCAGGTGGGACATGATGCGGGAGGGAGGCCAGCAGGGTGGAGAGGACATGGGGTAAGGATCCTAGGACTGGTACTCCATCATAAAATGGCTGTCATTTATTGATTGGGCCTAGGGCCAAGTGCTTGTGTGTATCATTTGTAGTGAAGAAGTTTTTATCCACATTATGTGTGAAGAAAATACTCAGAGAGGACCAAAATCTCACAGGTGAAGAACTGGGATATTAACACAGCTCTGTCTGACACTAAAGCTCTTTCAGTGTGACTGAGAAGGAACAGTGGGGTTGGGGGTGGAAAGGAAACACATCATCTGTAGCTGGAGCAGGCTCTAGTGCACTTCTGTGTAACCATCCTGGCTGCTTCGCTCCTTGGTTCTTCCACCCTGGCCCTTGGCCCCACTGTGCCTCAGTTTCTGCATCTGTGAGTAGCCTGCCTTATAGAGTTGTTGGGGAGAATAAGTAGGATAACATTTCTGAAGGATTCATACCTTGCCTGGGTGCCTGTGCCAAGTAAGTCTTAGTTTATTGATGACAGAATAACAACAGCAACCACTCATATCTTACAGCAAAGCAGATGCTGGGCATTTTCTTTAGTGGGGAGATGGGGCATTTTCTAGAATACTAAGGAAGGGGTTGGACTAAGGGGTTGATTATTGACAGTGTGCTGATCAGTAGATGGGCAAGCCAGATTTGAGGACTTGTTTTTGAGGTACTTGAGAGGCCTCACACATGCCAGGAAAGCGCTTTACCACTGAGCCTTATCCCCAACCCCTCAGATTTGAGGTTTTGAAGGGGATGCTAGAGAGTTTGTGAGACATTCTGGGGCTGTCCAACTTCAAGGTTAACTGGAAATTGTCAATCATCTTTTTCAGGAATAGCACCTACCATATCTTATCTGTCTAGATTAGAAAGTTTGTTCAATAATTATTTATTAAGCGCCTACTCTACAGTACTTTAGGTACCTCCTATGTGGCAAGTACTGGGCATATTGCATTATACAAAATAGCCAGGTCCCTGCCCTGATGGAGTTTGTGGTCTAGTTTGATGTTTTGACCCACTAGTCAATCTTTTTTTTTTTTTTTTAAAGAGAGAGAATTTTTTTAATATTTATTTTTTAGTTTTCAGTGGACACAACATCTTTATTTTTATGTGGTGCTGAGGATCGAACCCAGCACCCCGCGCATGCCAGTCGAGCGCATTACCACTTGAGCCACATCCCCAGCCCTTAGATGTGTTTTTAACAGTGATATTTTCAATTTACAATGATTTTGTTGGGCTGTAACCACCTTATAAGTTGAGCATCTGTGTATATATGTATATAGTGGGCCACAGTAGAAAATGTACATATTTACAATTCTTGCAGTTAAAAAAAAGTTTCAAAAACACCAACCTAGCACATATATTATTTCATTAAGTCCTGAAAGAGGATTGTGAAGCTGTGAAGGTCAGTGGTGAAGCAGGCTCACCATTCTGACAATGCTAGAGCTGAGTCAATATCCAGGCCCCACTGGGGACTTGGGGTTCATTAATCCATGTTTCCTACAGCTACCTGGTGGCACACACTTTGGGGCGCCGGATGCTATATCCAGGCTCTGTATACCTGCTCCAGAAGGCCCTCATGCCTGTGCTGCTCCAGGGCCAGGCCCGGTTGGTGGAAGAGGTGAGGCCCCCTGTCTTGCCCCCTGCTGGCCCTTCTCTTCCCCAGAGATGTAGCCTCTTGCTCCTCACAACCTGGCCATTACATCTTCCTAGTGTAACGGCCGCCGGGCAAAGCTGCTGGCCTGTGATGGCAATGAGATTGACACCATGTTTGTGGATCGGCGGGGGACAGCTGAGCCCCAGGGACAGAAGCTGGTGAGAGACCACAGGGACCAAAGGTGGTGTGCGGGGAGGGCAGTAGAGGCTCAGGGGACCCCAGTCATACAGACTTTCCCTATGGCATCAGAGTGGGGAATAATCCAAGCTGTACCCTAAAGCCCTCTATAGAAAAACCCTAAGACAAGGAAATACAAGTTCAAAAAATAATTATCATAGTTGTCACCACCAAGAACATTTATTCCATGTAAGACATATATTGTAATCTTCTTAACAATCCTGTGAGATAGGTACTATTCACGTTAGCCCATTTTTATAGATGATGAAACTGAGGCACAGAATAACTTTCCTAGCTCATACAGTTAGTAAGTGGTAGCATTGTATGTGGATTCAGGCAGCCTGGCTCCAAAGTCTCCTGCTTCCATGAAGGAGCTCTGGAAAGAGCACTGACCCAGGAATCTAGGAGTTAGGTTCTAGGGCTAACTCTGCCGGCTATGGGAGTTCATGCAGGTCCCACCATCTCCGGGCTTCAACTTGGGACACCATGGAACTAGAGTTTATCTAATTAAAAGATTAAAGCCCAATGAAGGAGAAGGAGAAGGAAAGCAGTAGGCATGCCACAAAACAGGGACAGGTACAAAACAGACCAAAAGCTATGAAGGAAAGAAAATTCAGGCTCTGGGAGTGTAGCTCAGTGATAGAGCATTTGTGAGGCTTTGGGTTCAGTTTCCAGTGTGCTTGTGTGATCCATAATCCCATCCTCTCCTAAGAGCAACCTACCTGGTGGCCTCCCAAGGGAAAATGGACATTGTACTGAGTGGTGGAGCGATCCAACTTGAGTCATCTTCCTCTGAGGGTCCAGTTTGCCAAGCATTTGTAGTCACTTTGCCTCTCATCTTATGGACTTTGTGGAATGATAAGTTTTTATTCACCTCAAAAAAGAATAAGAACTTCCCTTTCCTCTTCCCTACACAGCTCTTCTCAGGCTGCCCTCCCTGTTCATGTGGGAATTTCCAGTGGATCTCTGAGCCCTGCCTTTCTGTCTCTTTCCTAGGTGATCTGCTGTGAGGGGAATGCCGGGTTCTATGAGGTGGGCTGTGTCTCCACGCCCCTGGAAGGTAGGCCATGGCTCAGCCCTCTTATTTCTGCTCTTTGGACTGGAATATACCTACCGCTCACACTGCTCTGATCTTCCCAGAACTAACCTTTACTTTCTCAGAGTGAGGTCTCAGTCTCTCACTTTGGGGGAAAAGTCCACTCCCCATTTGTTTTGTGAATCATATATTGTTCCCCTTTTCCGTATCCGCTACCTTTATTATGCTCTTCATTCTGTTCCACCACACAGTCATATATCTTTCCCTTCTGCTGCCTCAGAGTCTTTGGCATCATCTCCTTATCCTGGGAAGGCATGGAGCAATTTGCCTCTGAGTTTGGAGGGTACTTCTGCTGTCTTTCCCTCAGGGACAGAGAGGGGCATGGACCATGAGGTTTCAGTCCCTTCTCCCCTTGTGTTACAGCTGGATATTCAGTCCTGGGCTGGAATCATCCTGGCTTTGCTGGAAGCACGGTGAGACCCTCTTTGCAGTCCCTTTCTTTTCCAGAATTATTTCTGGTGAGCTACTGGAGGGGAAGAAATGGGATGCAATTTCTGTGGGGCCTTCCATTCACTGAGGCTAGATGCTGAGGGCTGGGAGGCTGTAAATGTGAAGGCAGCATGGGAGCTGCCCCCCCCACACACACACACAGTTGGGGGCTGGCTGAAAGGCAGTGGATCTCAAACATTGTCCTCTCCCACCACCTTTTTCTTCCACATCTTCTCTGTTGCAGGGTGGCTGTAGGAAGGGTCCATATTAGGAGGATGCAGGTGAGCTGGCCTTTGGTGTGACCCCCTCCTGCCTTTGCCCTTCCTCCTACAGGGGGTGCCTTTTCCTCAGAATGAAGCCAACGCCATGGATGTGGTGGTCCAGTTTGCCATCCACCGCCTGGGTTTCCAGCCCCAGGACATTATCATCTACGCCTGGTCCATTGGTGGCTTCACTGGTACCAGTTTTCTTTCCACACGCCACTGTAGACACATTCATGCCCCCCACCTAGGAGAGGTGGGGAAATACACCAATGGCTCTGGATGGGGGTAGAGGCTCAAGGAAGAAGAGGGAGGAGTTAAAAATCTCTAGGTGGGCCCAGGAGTAGATATCTAGTTGTATAAACTTCACCTTTCCTTCCTTCCTTGAAGTAGCCGAGGGTCCTTGGTGGGCAGTTCAGGGAAAGAGTATGTTCTGCCTACTGTCTTTCCATGCACTTGGATATCTTCTTCTCCAGATTGTGCCCTGGCCAAGTGAAGTGGGGTTTAAGGAAAGACCAGGGGATAACATCCTGGCTAGGGTGGGGTTGGCCCATGGGATGAGGGTGTGTATGGTAGGCAAGAGCATCTCTCAGTCCTTGCCTTCTTTCTTGTTCTGCTACTAGCCACATGGGCAGCTATGTCCTACCCAGATGTAAGTGCTGTGATCCTGGATGCCTCCTTTGATGACCTGGTACCCTTGGCTTTGAAGGTCATGCCAGACAGCTGGAGTGAGTGCAGCTCCCAGGACTGTCATTCCAGGGAAGGGGTGGGCTGGAATTAGGAGCTATTCTAACTGGAGATAGTTTTCATTTGTGTGCGTGGGAAGAATTAGGAAGGCTCAGCCCTCTTATTTCTGCTCAGTTTTTTCCTGTGAACAGTGGGGATCTCTTGTTGGGCAAGGTCTTTGTCACTGCTATTCCTTCACCTTTATCCCACTCTAGGGGGCCTGGTGACCAGGACTGTGAGGCAGCATCTCAATCTAAACAATGCAGAACAATTGTGCAGGTGAGGGCAGGCAAGTGTCCAGCATCTCACTCACCCCCATTACCCACCAACCCATACCACAGCACTGTTGGGCATTAATACACTGAAAATAGCCCTAAATGGAAAGCTGGCAAATAGCCACTGCCCCATGAGTTACCCTGTCACACCCAGTCACACCTCAAATCCCCTGAGACCCTGAACTTCCTCATGATCTGGCAGTCAATGGATTAGGGCCTGGCAGAGCAGGGCTCCCCCACCTCAAGATCAAACTAAGCAATGCCTGCCTGCCTTTCTTTCTCTCTTTCTTCTTTCTTTAATTATGGGAATGGAACCCAGGGCACTCTACCACTGAGCTACATCTCATCCTTTTTATATTTTATTTTTTTAGTTTTTGTAGTTGTAGATGGACAGAATGCCTTTATTTGTTTATTTTTATGTGATACTAAGGATCAAACCCAGTGCCTCACACATGCTAGGCAAGTGCTCTGCCACTGAGCTACAGCCTCACCCCCTTTGTTTTTATTTTTGAGACAGGGTCTCACTAACTTGCTGAGGGCCTCACTAAATTGCTAAGGCTGGCCTCAAACTTGTGATCCTCTTGCCTCAGCCTCTGCAGACACTTGGATTATAGGCATGTACCACCATGTCCTGACTGCCATGCCCATTTTAAATATTCTGACCTCACTCCTGGGTGAAGGCTAGCTTAGGATGGGGGTAGACAAGTTGTTACTTTTCTCCATCTGAGCTTTCCTTCCCTGCTGCTCTGTCCTGAAGGTACCAGGGCCCCGTGCTACTGATCCGGAGAACCAAGGATGAGATCATCACCACGACGTGAGTGCTTCAGAGCCTCTGCCCTCCCCAGACCTCAGAGATGGCTAGAAGTTGCCCCTGCCACCTCTGCCTACATGAGGGAGGACCCTCTTATTCGTGATTCTCTATGTTCATGTTGCTGTTTGTAGTTTGTGGAAACACAGCTTTTCAGATCCTTCCTTCCCAACCTCCAGCCCCTCCAGAGTAATTCTTCTCATCCTCAGGGTTCCTGAAGACATCATTTCCAACCGAGGCAATGACCTGCTTCTGAAGTTCCTGCAGTTTCGGTGAGAGCTGGTAGATGGGGATAGACACTAGCATGGGGAGGGAGGGAAGTTTTGGGGTGAAGAGTGAAGTGAAATCAGTCCTAACCTCCTGTCTTGGTGCTTCTCTGTAGGTATCCTCGTGTGATGGCAGAGGAAGGCCTTCGTGTGGTGAGGCAGTGGTTGGAGGCCTCCTCACAGCTGGAAGAAGGTAAGAGGTACCTGATAAGGCTTGTGGCAGGGGCCTAATAAGGCCAGGTTGCTTATAGGTTTTCATTTCTCTCCCTGAACAGCCTCTATTTATAGCCGATGGGAGGTGGAAGAGGACTGGTGTCTGTCTGTCCTCCGTTCCTACCAGGCAGAACATGGGCCTGACTTCCCCTGGAGTGTGGGTAAGGAGGGCAAGTGAGGAGAGTCCAAGAAGGGGCTGAATACCTAAGCACCTGGCCAGGTTTAAGTGCCTCTTCTCTGCAGGGGAGGACATGAGTGCAGATGGACGGCGGCAGCTGGCTCTGTTTTTGGTGAGCTCAGTGAGAAGCAGTGGAAGGGGACTGAATGGAAGGGGTCACATATAGAGTTTGGGGACAGGGGATCCCTTGTAAGCAATAGAAGTGGCAGCTTTCATAGAGTGGTGAATTTGGAGGGTGGAGGATGGGAAGTGAGGAGGGTGTCCAATGGCTTCTGCTGCCTATGGTGCTCTGTGCCCACTTGCCCCACCCCCTTTCCTCAGGCTCGGAAGCATCTGCACAATTTTGAGGCCACACACTGCACCCCACTTCCTGCCCAGAACTTCCAGATGCCCTGGCACCTCTAGGGACCACATTGGAACACATGGAAGAACAGGATGGGGGAGACATGAGGGAGGACCCTCTTATTCGTGATTCTCTATGTTCATGTTGCTGTTTGTAGTTTGTGGAAAGTGGGGGACCATCCCCCTCCTTACCACAGTTCCTCTTGCACGTTTCCCCTCATTCACGTGACAGCACCTAACCTTCCCCTATACATATCCTGCATTAAATGAATGGATTATTCCTAATAATTAATATAAAAAGGTATTTTTTCTACTATCTGGCTAATTGTGTGACTTCACAGATGTTCAGCTAGGGGATGGTACTGGGGAGAGCAGAGGCCCCAAAGGGCCAGGCTTTGGGAAAACCATAACTCCAGACAATCAGCTTAACTTTCCCCATCTCTGTGTACCCCTTGGCCTTCAACCACAATCTGAGCTGTCCTCATGCAGCAGGTCCCAAAGCCTAACCTTTCCCTGGAGTGCCTAGGGTTATCACAGCTGTACAGCTTCCCTAGCTTCTCCTTCCTCCTTCCTCGGTCTCTCCTGCATACCACAGCCCTAGGAGCCTGTGGTTGCCCCCTCTAACTTATAACCTGTTTACAAAGTGTTTTCTAGTATTTGATTTCACCTATTCAACTTCTCTGCTGATTTCCAGGTCCAGTTTGTATGGTGTCACTCTCAGCCCCTACAGCCATCCTTGCTCAGCTCTTCTCATCCCAACAGGGAGTGAGAAGCAGTCTGTTCTCTCTTGGAGTCTTATGCAGCAGAACCTGTCCACTTTCCTCACCATGTCATCAAAACTGTCCTCCCAGTTTTGCAGTTCAACACAGAGCTTGCCAGGGACCTTAATGCCAGGAGCCAAGGACACCTGTCTTCCCAGAGCCATGCTTCATCTTTTGGACAGCTCTGTTAGAAAATTCTTAGGTTAGTCAGATCCAGTAGTGCATACCTGTGATCCCAATGGCTCAGGAGGTTAAGGCAGATGATGGATCTGAAGTTTAAGGCTATCATGAGCAACTTAGGGATACCATGTCTCAAAAAGGGGTGAGTATATAGCTTAGTGGTAGAATGACCCTGGCTTCAATCCTCAATACTGCAAATAATAATAATAATAATAATAATAATAATAATAATAATAATAAGGGAAAAGAAGGAAAGAAAAATAAAGTTGTTAGATTTAACCTGAGGAAATCAATTCCCAAAAATTTCTAATCCTTGGACCTTATGTAACAGAATATATTCCTCTTCCATCCAACAGTTTGTGGCTTGGCTACCTTCTACCCTCAGAAACTTCTGTTTTTCAGATGATATACCCAAAGTTTACTATACTACCTAGTAACCATCGTTAGGTATAAGATGCTTAACATGAGTGAAAATGTTCTGATGTTCTAGTTATAGTCTCTGGCTGATTTCTGTGTCTTCTCCAACTCCAATGCATGACCCTCCTCTAATCTGGGGGACAGAGGCTGTGTCTGTCCCAGCAGCTCAGCAACTCCTTAAGAGGGTATTCCCAGTCTCCACAGGAAAGGGAGATCTGAGATGTATCAGGTGATATGGGCCTGAAATTTGGGGTTAGAGGGGAGGTGACTATAATTCCAGAATGCTGTGCCTTTTGCAAGTTTGATCCTGACACCCTTCTCCTCTGTCTCATCCCAGGGGGTAATGGGATGGGAAGCGTGGAACAGGAAGCTGTGGGACCAGCTGCATGGTTCTGAATCTCACTCTCCCAGATGCATCAGGACAGTTAATCTCTTGGAAACAAAGACTTTGTTCAGCCAAGGAAACCTTCTTAAGTGCAAATAGGGGGTACCCATTTCTGTCTCCCATACCCTGGAGACAAGAACTCCCATTTCCTAGCCCTGTATAGGCATTAGGGACATTGTAGACCTTCCCTAAAGCCACTTTTGCCCCACCTTTCTACACATACTATAGAGAACAGTGGATGACAAGAGGGGACCCTTGGATTCCCCAAATGGGTAAGGGTAGGGGAGGACCAACATGTTGATTTTCCTAAAAGTACCCCACTCAGGAGCCTCAGTCTATGTCAGATTATTCCACACCTGATAAGGTCAGAGTAGCTAAATAGAACCACCCTTCATCTTGGGATGGGACCAGCTCCTGGTCCACTCCTCACTCTATATAGCAAGATTCCAGAAGAGGTCAGCTGAGATGCCCACCACACAGCTGCTGGGGCTCTCTGGATCCTCCTCTACTGGGCACCAAGCAAGGCCTGAATACCCAGGCACCTGAGGAGCTGGGAAAATGGCATGAGAGTGGAGGCTAGATGGCAAGTTAGAGTCTGGCAGGAAACCTGGGAAGAAGTGGGCAGGTCCCTGGACAGGGCCATGCTTTATCCTACCTTATCTCATTGACCCAAGCTTTGCCTTCAGCTGCTCCAAGTGTGAGGTCCTGACTTGGCTCTGGACTGGGCTGTGTGTTTGAGAGTTTGCTCCACAAGCCCGGGAGGGGCATGTGTCTCTCCACAAAGCTGTCACAAGTAAGTGAGGGTCTTTCTGGTGAAGGATCCCTAGGGGGTGGGGCTCAGACTTTGCGGGTATCGATGTCCCCATCCATCCATCCATCCAATCAGGAAGCCAATCTAAAGACTCAGTCTAAAGTTCTGCAATCCCTCAACAGAACTTGCCTCATTCCAGGCTGAGGCAGGAGGATCACAAAGTTTAGCCCAGCCCGGGTAACTCAGCGAGATCCTGTCTCAAAATAATAAAAAATAAATTTAAAAAAAGCTGGAGATGTAGCTTAGTGGTAAAGCATCCTGGAATCAATTCCCGGTAAAATAAGTAAGTAAATAAATATTTAAAGGACTGGCGATGTAGTTCAGTGGCAAAGTGCCCCTAGGCTTGAATCTCAGTAACACTAATAAATAAGGAGAAAGGGAGGAAAAAAAAAAAAAAAACACCTTTCTCGCAGAGCCTACCCCTTTACGGCCCCGCCCTTCTTTTGCCAAGCCTGATTCCTCCAACTGTGGCTTTCAGTCCTCAGGCCCCACCTCCTCGCTTTCGTCACTCGGCTGCCTACCCCTAGGCGTCCTTAGTCCGGAGGGAGGAACAATCTGCTTGGATGCCTTCGTTCCTTGCTATCACCATAGCGACTGCTACAACGCCCCACCTCTTTACCCTAGGAAAGCTTCGGAGGAACCCATCACCACGAAAACGAACTCTCGCGGCGCTTAGCGTGTGCGGCCCCGCCCTGCCGCGTGAACGAGGCAAGGAATAAAAAGAAGCAGGGGCTGGACTAAGGATTCTGAGACCATGTCTGTCTGTCGGAGACGGCTCCCACCAAGCACCCGCCCTCCGCTCCCGGGTCTTCCTATAGGTTCTGCTCAAAGCTTGCGGGGCTGTAACCTTACTGCGGGGCAAGTCTTCTCGTACCCCACTTAAGCCTCACTTAGCTCCTAGTTTGGCCTTTCAGGTGCGGTTATATTCGATAAAGGGGTTCTGAGGGCTCCGTAAAATTTCCCTTTGACTCCTCTTTGCCCTTTTCGCTTCCAGAGGAGCCCTCGCTCGTTGATTTTTTTCCTTATTATTCCATGAACTCCCTCATTTAACAGACAGGTGACAGGCGCTTCTCTCCCAGTTCTTCGTTCTGTAATACAGCGTTGAAATTTCATTCATTCCAAGACTGGTAGGGTGGGGCGCGCAGTAGCGTGCGTTTTTCTCTAGTGTTTCTTCCATCCCGTTATTTCTAGGACCCGTCCTTGCTTTTCCTGTCGGTTTCTTACCATCTTCCCCATCAACACTACAAGATCGCATGATTCTTGAGTAGTCAGGGCAATAGCAGAGAATCCGACTTCAGGACCCCGCCCCAAACCTCCAAAGGGGAAACCGGAGCAGGTGATGTCGTCCTGGACGCCGAGGACCTCCCAGTGTCCTTACTTTTAAGCCCGGTGTCCTTAAAAGTAAAATCCCTGAGTCTATCTGCGACTGATCTAAGGAGGTGGGGACTGAGCTGGTGAAGTGGGGGAGCCCCGCAGGTTTAGCGCCGAGGAAATGGGCTGGGCCCCTGGGGCCGCGGACTCCGGAATCCACCCGGAGGAACGGTGGTACTACAGCACCACCTTCCGGGTAAACCGCTTCATGCACAGGGTGTCCGCAGGCTCACCCTTGGGTCCCCACGCGCAGCTCGCGCTGGCTTGACGCCAAGCGAACTGTGCTTGGGCAGGGGCCGCCCCCGCATCCTCCTGAGAATTCTAAGGTGCAGTCAGGCGCGGAGAGAGAACGCACGGCGCGGGAACATGTAGGAACCGGAGATTAGACTCACTGACCTGCAGCCGAGCTTGGGCGGGGGTGGAGTAAAAGGGGTCGTGGGGGATAAGGTGCCCCGGAACCTCAAGGGGGCACCAGTCTGAGAATAGGGGTGGGGAGAGTGTCACTGTTTCTCTGTGATCCAGATATTCCCGCTTTTGGAAAAACATGGTACTTGGAAAATGATACTACCAGTCATCTCCTCGTGCAAATCTATTCCCCATTCCTTCACTTACTCATTCATACACCAAATCTGTACAATCTTTTTTCTAAATGCTCAGGTTCTTTCATTCTCTTCAGCGAGACGAGGCCGCCATCTTGTGACTGAACTCGGGAATAGCTCCCTATTTCCCTGCATTCTCCCATTCTCCCATGTGTAACAATGGAAATCTTTTTTTTTTTTTTTTTTTTTTTGCACCAGGGATTGAGCTCAGGGGCACTCAACCACTGAATGATATCCCCAATCCTATTTTGTATTTGATTTAGCAACAGGGTCTCACTGAATTGCTTAGTACCTCGCTGTTGCCCAGGCTGGCTTTGAACTCTCTCGATCCTCCTGCCTCAGCCTCCCGAGCCTCTGGGATTACAGGCAAACAATGGCAGTCTTTTATGAGAAATCTGATCGCGTTTCTCTTCTGCTGAAATCCCTCTGGATAGTGATTTCTACTATCCATATGCTCCCAGCAGCACTCTGCCTCTTCCCACCATTGCCTGTTGATTTGTCTCCTCCACTAGACTGTGCCCTGTGAGGGCAGGGGCTTTGGACACTGCTTATCTTCAACATCTGATGCAGTAAATCAATAAACATCTGATGAATTAATATAAAAGTTTCCCTCTCATTCCTCTGTTTCTGGGTCCCTGCCCCAAGCAGGATGTTAAGATCTGGAGTGGCTGTGGGTGAGGACACTCTGATCTGACTGTTCTGGCACTGATTTCCATCCTAAATGTGTTGCCTCTCTCTTTCCTCTTGGCCAACCTCTTTTCCACCAATATAAGCCCAGAACAGAGGCCAGAG